AATTTTATAAGTCTTGTTTATTAAAATTTTGATTAAAATTCTAAAATATAAAATTTAAAAACAAAAAATGAGTATAGTGCTCATTGGATTACACAATTTATAATTAAGCAGTTAACTACGAATTTTTATAATTATACTCGTTCAAATGATCTACATATAATTCGAAGTAAACTAACTATATGTCTGCTAGCAGTATTTTGTTCAGAATAATCATATAACAAATTTAAAATGCTTGGTTGGTTTCCCTGGTTTTATAATATTTTGATTTTAAAATATTATCAATAATTGATATTATATAACTTATGATAATCAATACCGTTGGTTATTAAGGCATAGCCCATTCGGCTCTCGTTTTTCAAAAAGGTTAATTCCCAAACGGCTCCCATCGAAAAAGGTTTTACGAGCAGGTCAATTCCCAAACGGCTCCGATTTTTTACAACACAAATTCCTTCCCAATTCTTACAGACTTAGGACTGTCTCAAAAGAGGTGTGGTTAAAAATGTATTGTTGTTTTTTAAGGTTATATTCTAAGTAAATTATAAAAATTATATTCTGTGAATTAAGTGTTGAAAAAGTTTTAAAAAATAGACAAAAATCTTAAAAAAAATGTATATATAAAAATATAAAAAAAAATTATACAATTGGTAAATTGTTGACACAATTTTTTTATGTCATCTATACTAGTTATTTTATTTGATGAAAATTCTTGAATAATATTTTCAATGAGCTTCTGTTTTTTTGTTGGTTTTGGTGTATTTACATGACTTCGAACTTTAATTTGCGTTTCGGATTGTATTTCGGTTAGTATGTCAACAACCTTGAAAATATTAGGATGAGCAGAATTGAATTCGTTATATATAGTATGTAATATGTAATATATATATAAAATATGTTATATAAAACGATACTCAGTATACCAGTACACAGTATATCAGTACATCAACCTGAAATCGGTACACCAATATGACAGCCGTTTGGAAATTTACCAGTTCGTAATACCTTTCCGATGGGAGCCGTTTGGATATTGACCTGTTCGTAAAACCTTTTTTGATGGGAGCTGTTAGGGAAGCGACGGGTCATTAAACGTTAAATTGTATTATTACCAAATTTATTAAGTTGTATTAATTGGAGGTACAATAAATTTCTAGTGTCTAACGTGTATTTATTTCTGGTGTTTAACAATCAGACATGCATATTTTTCTTTGATAAAATGTTCTTACTATAAGATACGACTTATTAATTTAAATACATGTTATAGGGATTGATCGGTGCATTTTTCGAAAATAGCATTTATAAATAATATACATTTTTTTATTATATCTTTTAAGGTATCCTCATTCAGTCTTTATTTAATCATTACTTTTTAATAAAAGATTTAGTTAAGTTGTACATTAGTTTAGTTAATACATTTTTAATATGTCTATAATATTTGACACTTGTTCTTTTATTTGGGTAATTAATTACAACATTATGAACCTCACTTAAGAATTCAGCGGATTTCAATACTTAACACTTTTAAGTTTATATTATGTTAAGGAATTCTATTTAAAGTGAGACGTACGTTATTATAGCAAGTTAATATACTAATTATTAATTACGTGAATACTAAATATTTTTACGGTACATCGTAAACACGTCAATTATGTACTAAACTTACTATAATGAGAAATTAATAATTTTTATTATAAACTCTGGAAATATTATTCTTTTTATCTGTTCCATTAATCTAGCATGTACAAAAAATGTTGTTAGTATTGTGTATTTGTATTACACACACAATACATGTTAATTGCGTATACGAAAAGTTCAAATTCTATTATTTTATAACCAAACAAATTAAGAATGGTTGCTGGATTGATTTATTTAGATGTTTATGCATATGTTAGGTAACTATGAAATCATCTAATATAAATAAACTTAAAATATTTTTATTATATGCAAAACTAATGGTGACTAAGTAATTTTTAATTGGCAGTTTAAAATGCTAATGTATTATACCAAATCACACGATTAAATCGATAACCGTTAATATAGTTGAAAAAGGCTACTTTATTATATAATAGGTTCATATATAAACCTATTAGCTATGTATCCAACAACAAATTGTATCGACTGGACGATAATAATATGTTTAGCGTCACTACGCCAAACGAGACCTGGCATATTTTAATAGTTTTTTAAATGTTTAATTTTAAAAGTATAAAAAATTTCTTATTATCTTTTGTTATATACATTTTACACACTAGGTGATATATATTTTAACGTTTAATATTAATTTTCCCGGTTCCTTAATAATCTTTTAAAAAAAATTATTTATAAAAGAATTCTTCAAAGTTATTGCATTTTGTAAAAATACTATCAATATTTTTTTATCGTACGAATATTTAATAGTTATTGACTTTTATAAAATTAAAATGTATTTTTTATTATTTCATATACTAGAACTGAGTATTTTTTTTTGTAATTATTTATTAAAATCACATGTTAATTTATTTATATAAATTTAGAGTTTAAACAAGTGAACTGTGTACCAAAATGTTTTGAAATTTTTTGTTTCATTCCACTTTGTTTAGTTATCTATCATAATTGTAATTGTAATAACTGTAAAACGGTACTTTATTAATATTATAATGTTTGAAAAATTGTTTTAATTAAATACTGATATTTTAATATTTTATCATTTATTTTTACTTAAAATATTATAAATATTATAAAATAAATAATAAATACAATATGCTTCTCACCTATAACAATGGCTAAAAATTTATTAATTATTATTACATTTATATTAAATATAATTATCATGGGGTTTTAGTAAAAAATATTATTAAATATATAGTAATTAAGAATATACTCAATAGTATTTATAATTTAATTGTTGATTGAAAAATTTTTATTTTCATTAAAGGCACTTTCATTTTAAAAACATGTATATATAATTATTAATTTTATATAGTTATATTTAAATAATAATCTTAAATATTATGTTCTTCGTTGTATTATTTTTTCATACAGAAATTACATTCTCAGAAAATAAGAATTTTTAAAATATTTTGAGTAATTGATGGTATTTACATTTGTCTGATATCTGTATATTGAATAAAATAAATTATTTTTTTATGAACATTTTAAATAATTATTTATTTTTTATCAAAATTATAAATATAATACTATAAATAAGTATATTTTTAACGGAGTTCTTATATTAGTAGCTAATAACTATAGGTATATAATAATTAATAATTATATTTATGTTTATAAGATAAATTAATAATTATTGTATAGTACATATTATTTATTATATTTTAGTTCGGATTTATACTTATTTTACAAGCGCTAGACACTTAATTAAAACAAATATTTACGCATATATTTTATGATGATTATGCTTAGAAAAACTTTTTTTTAGAATTCGAGTATTACTGAAATGGATAATTATCTTTTTTTCTATTTGTTTAGAGTTATGTCCAAATGGTATTTTTAACTATACAAATGTAGACCTACAATTAACGATTTATAAATTAGATTAAGGAAAAATTATGTTGATTGTCAATCACGCCGTATCATTGTTGAATTGTTTCTACTTCAAGAGAAAACCGGCAAATAACCATTTTAGCATATTAATTAATATGCGTCTTGTTCTATAAAATTGTATAAAGAGCGTAGCATTTCAATATAAAAAAATAAAGAATTACTACTGATAAAAATAAATATTGTACATTCCGGATTTCAATTATCTCTACATGCGCATTAATTCGCTGTATGTTGACGTATGTCAAATTTCTGCTAATATCTCTGTTTTGAATGCGCATACACATTCACAACTAAATGGAATGACTCTCAGTAACAATTTATACGTAATACTTTAGTGCGTCATTATCACTGTACCTCCGAGCAACCGGCTTATTATACTGGAGACCTGCCGACCAGACGAATTGACTCGCATTCGGCACCGTGACTCCTTAGAACGTGCACGTTTCGTATATCCGTCGTATCCGTCGTAAATGTATAAACTGGTTGTGTGTATTTAGCCGTTCGGGAATATTTATTCATTTTATAATTTTATTTAAATTTCGTTTATAATGGCGACCACAGCTGAAACAGCGAAAATTGACAGAACTGATCCTAGATTGCGAAAACTTGTGTACAATATGTACAGGAACGTTTTAGGGAATTATAACGAAAAAGCTAACGCTATGTTGGACGCATTGCCGGAAAACCAAGTGACTCAGGATCAAGGAGTTGATCGACAATTGTCTAGTATATTGTAAGTGTGTAGTAGTACAATTTAGTAGTAAGATTATAGAAAGATAATATAGTTATGTAATATATTATCAACATTGTTTTAGTACATTTATGTGTTTTTTTCAATACTATAATAAATTAATTGTATAAGCATGACAATATTGTTACAATAAATGCAATTCATACAATGTCTTATTAATTTACGTTTATATTTGATTGATGAATGTTTTCATTACTTTTACTACATATTACGATTTAAATATAATGACATCACCATGTCTTTTCGATTATAACATATGTACTTATATGTATTAAGTTTCTTTGTTCAAATTAAAAATCATATTGTTCTCAAAGTCTTAGAACTAGCAGTTTATCTCAAATTATATATTGAATATCTTAATTGTTAGTATATTTTTTTATTTTGAAATTATGACTATAAAAAACTAATGAGCAAATTGTTTTGAGAAAATTATGTTATATAATTATGATTCATGAGCTGCAGTTAGAATTATTGATAATTTTGTGAAAGAAAGAGATTTATATTTTTTATTGAAATCGAAAATCCCTGATATATTGTCAATATTCATTTTCAATAAATATATTTATTATTTGTGATTCTTATACTACTATATTAATTGTAAATAAAAATGAATAATATTATATATATCAGCTACATTTTTATTTTTATTTAAACAGATAATTTTAATGGAATTATGTAAATTGAAAAATGTTATTCAAAGAATTTCTTTAAATTTTTTTAAAATTTAATCTGCCGTAGTTCTAATAATTGGATGAATTGGGAGATCTGTTCAACTGTAGGTTTTCTTGTCTTTTAGTCTGTAGGTTTTAATTCGTAGTTGAGGTGCATGGCGTTTTTGCTTAAATCCCGGATGGTCACCTATCCAGAAACAAATAATGCAGCGTCAAAAAACAATTTCTGTGGATTTATGTTTAATATGTATATTTATAGTAAATATACCCCTTGAGTGCTTTTATTTCATGTGCAATTTGAATTATACTACATATACATATTTAAAGAATATTTTAATAATATTAAACTAAAATTCATCAAATCATTAATAATTGTTTTAATATAAGCAATAACTTATCAAATTATTAAATTATATTGTTTGAAATATATAACTTAAGTAATTTTAAATTAGTAAAATGATTATCTATTTTAATTGCATAATTATTTTTCTCTAAGCTTAGTTATATTGAGCATTCATTTAATATTTTGCAGTATTAATTTGTTTAAAAGTATGATGTTTTCAATCTGTATAATATATAAATTTAATATTATTAAATTTAAGTTAATTGTCTATAGTTTATATGATCAAAATAAAAAAAATTCATCTATTCTTGTTTTTTTAATACCATATATAAGCATATTATTGTATACAAATATATAATCAGAATAAAATATGAGTCAAAATAATGTTCGATTAACATGTTCATTACGCGATGAGAGAGTAAATATTTTCACACCATATTTTTAAATTTATATTGTTTACAGAAAATAAATTTTTAATATAAAACCAATATAGTATAATTGTTAAATATTTATAAATTGAAATATTCGATAATTAAGGTGATTAAATTTATCTATATGACTATATTTAGTAATATTTAATTTATTTTTAAAATTTAATTTATTACTATAGTACATATTTTTATTATTTGCTCTATTAAATTAAATATAGGAAAAAAATAATACATTTTTAATTTTTATTTACACATACATATTTGCTTTATTAATAACAAGTTTACAGTATTCGATTATGAATTTATAATTATGATTATAATATTATATGACACATAATAATGAAGGCCATTGTGGCATATGAACTTAATGCTTTTCATTTTTATATTTCAAATAAAATGTGATGACTGGTGAGAGAAATAAATTGAATGTCGTAGCTTCCTTTAAAGATTATGCTTATGATATGTGGAGATAGATGATATTGTTCGATATAAACATCAGTTATAGTATTAACTTATATTACTGAATATTTTTTTTAACGTTTTAGCTATTTTACTTAAATCTTATTCTTCCACTTGCATCAGTGTTTCTGTTTTTCGAAGCAATCGTAATGTAATTGAATTACTATTGACCTTAACAATGTAATAATAATAATAACCATATAATACATAAACAACCAGAAAAAAAATCAACGTGAGAATAGACAAGGTTGAAATGCTGTTTGAAGAGTAAAAACAAATAGCGGCGCTCGTCCAAGGGCAAATGCAAGGCTGACCCTGCAAAAAATCATAAGAGATAACCCGTGTAATAGCTGAACGAGAGCTCGAGAGTAGTTAATTTCGGTCCAAATATGGTAGCTTGTCCCCCACAATGACAATTTCAAACACGAATGTGTTTAATATACTAGCACGCTATTATTAACTATACACTATACTTAATACTTTATATATATATATATATATGAGCACCTATTAAACTAATTAGAAAAGTACAATAGGCTTGCAATTTTTTTGTTTCCAAGATATTATTTAATATATTTATTTACCATGTTATTTTAATATATAATAATGAAAAAAAAGTCTTTTTTGCGTTTGAAGTGTTAATGTGTCTCATTGGTAAATATTTTTATTTTTTAATAGGCATCAGTTAGGAGCGAAAAACGTAGCTGGAGACATGTCTACACCACCACCACCACCTGCACCACCATCGCCGCATTCTGGTAAAGGTTAACAAACAACATGGCTTTCGTCTTATGATTAGATTTTGTTTATAAAAATGTAATATTAACCTATGTAAATTAATTGTTTTTTGTTACAGAAGGTACAGCTCAAGGTGGTCCACCCCCGCCGCCACCACCTCCTCCTATGTTGCATAGTGGACACATTCCAGCTATTCGTATAAAAACTGAGGTACCTTTTAGTGTTTAATCATCTTTATATATATCTTTTTAAAAAGCTACAAATTAACACATTTTCATAATTATTATCCGAAAAGTATAATATAATAAAATATACTTATGTATATATGAAATAAAATATAAGCTACTATAAATATTTCTAAGCTACATTATATATTAATTATTTAAAAATTATTATGCGAATGATATAAACATAAATTATGTGCTTTTATATTTAATAGTATTGATTTTATTATTCAAAACTATAAAAAATTTTCATAAATAAATTTAAAAAAATGTATGTGGTTAAAATGGATTTATGTAGTATAATTTATTGAATTTCATCTTCGTCAATAGCTAAAAGTTATGATAAATATTAAAATAAAAATAATCATATAAAAACTTGTTATTAAGTATAATTATGCACGGAGTAGAAAAATTAAATAGGGAATATGATTTAATAACTATTCAATAATAAGCTATTGTTCATTGTGTTTTATTTTATTTTTTTGTAAATATTTATATTATTTCTTAACATAAAATCACCCGTAATTGTTACTAAAAGTCTATTAATATTTAGAAGTATATTAAATATCCTATATCCTAAAATTACATTTATATGTAAAGTTTAGTATTGAATATAAATAAAATCATTATTATTTTAAGCTTGTAATTTCATACTTTCACATAGCTCATTAGACATTTTAGCTCAAGTAAAATAAAATAATTTTTTTTTTTAAAAAAAAAGCTATAAAATATTATCCGATATAAATGTTGTAAATCGTAAAGTACTTCCATGACTAAATATTACATTGGCTTATAACTCATGAGTTGTTACAACTTTTATTTCTATAGCTATAGGTAGGTTCTATTAAACATTTTGTTTCTGTATGCATTGTAATTTTGTATTCATTATTTAATGAAAGTTATTAATATTATTTTATTAATTTAATATAATATTTAATACTAGTTGAATTACATTAAATATAATAATATAATATATTAGACACATATATCAACATTTTAATATATGTATTACATTATTACAAAATTCGTTTTAATCAAGATATTTGTTTGATACATTGTTTTTTAGCTGAATGGACCCAGAGAAATACCATCGACTATACAAAATGCTATGGCTACCAAAGATAAGAAACCATTTACATATTTGCCAGGTGGATTAGACTTGAGTGAGATAAGAAGTCCTCGAATGCAAAGGCGTCTAGAGAGAAATGCCCAGACTCCTCCTAGTCCCGAACATGTACCTCCAAAGTCTCCAGAATATCAACAACCGCAGACAAAACCAAACGGAAACTTTGAACAAAAACCCATGTGTAACGTGCGCACTTCTACAGACAGAGTATGTCTGTTACCTCAAGTTCAGCATCAACCACAACTAAACAAGTCGCCCACTCCTTGGATGCAAAAAGCAACACAAATTCAACCTAATCCAGCACCATGGACTCAAAACAAAAAAGAATACATTGATCAGGTGATTTTATCACCATTATATAAAATTTAAAGTTTAGAAGTAATTTTCATTTAAAATATGCTCATAGTGATATAGTCCAAGGAATTTTTCGTCCAATTCTTTAGTTATATAATAATAAAATTGTCTAAAGAATCTCATAATCCTTTTAGTTAGAATAATTTATATCGTTATCAAATATCAACTTTTTAATTTTCTAGTATACGTTGGTAATTCATTTATTTTCAACAAATAAAAATTATGAATTTAAATTAATGTTTTTAATTGAAAAAACTTTATTAATAAAAGTTTATTTTGAGCATATTTATATTTTAACAGAACTATAATTTAAGACTCACAAAAGTCATAAGAAACAATTATCTTTTTTAAGCATTAAGTTTTTAAACTTCTACATATTGGAAACTTATAAAATAAAATAAAAATAATCTTCTACATTGCATAAATTATACAACTATTACAAATCTATCTATTTTTAGTTAGCTTATATCTAATATAAAGTTTATCACATTTTTTTACCTATCCACTAGTAACCTACCCGACGAAAGAAGAAAGAATCGAAGGACTAACGATAGGTCTTGTATTTGGAAGCAGGTTTTTTTATATTTGATTCCCAATGATATTTAAATATAATTTCTGACTATGTTTACAAGAATATTATTGTATGAAATTTTAGTAACATTTATAAATAATTTTAGGTTGATAAAGAAAAAGAACGAGTTGTGCCCATGAGAGTTGAAACAAACAGACAAATGTCATCTCAACCTATGAAGAATAATATAGATCACTCATATGATACTGAACCGAAACAAGGACGTTCATTTAAAGTGCTTCAACAAATTACTGAACCAAAAAGTAACTACAACGTTTTCAAAATTAAAATAATATAATAATTGTAAATAAATTAGTTCAATATTGTGTAATTATTTAAAAAGTTAAAAAACTACTAAATTATAATAGGCATTCAATTTTTACGATTTACGAAGTAATATAATGATAATAAATAATAATAATTCAACACATAATATTAGTAAGTATGTACATTAATTATAAATACTATTATAGTAATTATAATCTATGGTATGTATAATGACTTTTTTCATCTATTTATTAACTTATTTTCCTATTCCAAGAATATTAAATCAAAACTTTACTTTATTTGCTTCTATAATAAGTTACTCTACTTATTTCCTTAATTTCTTCAAATAATGTCACCCATTCGTTATTAGTGTAGTCTCAAAAATCTTTGAATCAATAATTATAGTTTTATTTTCAGTGTTATCATAATATCCTTATGAAATCTTTTATCATCTGATATGTTTTTATTGCTTTAATTTATTTCTTAATATCACTTAATTATTTTTTATTCTTTATATTATGAGCCATATACAAATCAATGATAAAATCAAATATGTTCTTAATATGTTTTGTATCCATAGTAAGTTGTTTAAATCTACTATATAAATAAAAAAACAATTGAAATAAGATTATGTGTTCTTGAAAAATTAGTATGTTCAAGAATACCTTCTTCATATTTTAGTTGGAAACTGAAGTTCTTTCTATCTTTAAAGGTTTTAAGAGCGTTCATATCTTCAAAATGTTTATATCTTTAAATCTATCATTGATCTCATTACCAAAAATAGTATTTTATGAATGATCACTATTGTCAAATATAAATAAATATATTTTTTTTTATCAATTTCAACTTTGAATATGAGTGAATCCAACAGTTTTTAATACACATGGTTTTATAAAATTCTATTTTTTATATCCACTTTATTGCCAAAATCGTCTGAAAACATGATCCTATCCAAGAAGTAATATGACGTAGGTTACACACTAGGACTTATTCGGTTCACATTAATAGTAATTATTTATTAAATGTTCTTGTATTAAAAATCAATTTATACATCTTAATACGCGCCCGCGCGCGTGTGTGTCTATACATGTATATAAATATACTTCTGACAAGGAATATAGCTTTCTTATAAACATATTTAATCTTATAGTTATAAAGTAATAATTAAATTGTATTACTATTCAAAAAGTTGTAAGCTTTAGTTTCGTTAAGTTTTTATCTTAAAATTAGTTTCTTTTGTAAAATATTGCTACTAATAATTTTAAACGATTTTTCGTTAATATTATATTACAATAATAATACATAATTTTTTATAAAGAACATTTTTAACTTAATGGTAAGTTACGAAGATACTTGTTATTTGTTTTTACTTTTGTCTAAAACTTAAGCTCCCACCTACAATAAAAAATGTTACTCGTTCAAATATACATGCAACTACTCTATAAATAACTCAAACTTAAATTTCTTAATTTAAAATTTAAGTTTTAATTCTAAATTAATTTTTAATATTAAAGAAATTATTATTTAAATAATTAAGTTGATATAATTTATTTAAATAAACATTACGTTTTAAAATATTTATAGTCAAAGAAAATGCTCTTAGTTAGTGCGACAAAAAAATCTTAACTCTTAACCAGCAAATGGAATATTCAAATTTAAATATTATTAAATAAAGTAAAATGACTAAAGGTTATTGCAATTCAATAAACTTTCGCCGTTTATTTTTTTAATAGAATGTATTTTAGAGATTTATAAGTTTTTCCACATCAGTCAATTTATAAATCGCAATGTGGCACCGAAAAAACTATTAACTCTATCTTTTTCGTGATTTAGAATTTCGATAATTTATGATATACTAATAACAGTACTGGAGCCAAAATATTTATCAACATGTACTAATAATATTTCAATACTTATTACTAGATATTTTTCATCAGTGAAAAAATATAATAATCCAACATTATAAGCGTTCTCATGATGGGATGATGTAGGGTTTATTTGTTTGTAAATATTACAAAATGCATTTATTCCTTCTTCTATAATTTTTATCATTTACAGAAAAATTGCATTAACGTCTGCTTTTAATTTATCACTATTTTATTGTTTCATTATAAATTAATTCAATATACGTATTTAAAAATGCATTATATATACATATTTATGAGTATTTAATATTTTTCAGGCATGTATGATGGTTCTCAGCCTTACAACAGTCAGTCGTTACCTTTGTCTGAACTTAGGAAGATGCAGTTAAGTGATGATGATCGATCATTCATGAATAGAGTAAAATCTCAAGGTATATATTATTATGAAAGCTTACAGATTGATATACGTTGTATTTAAATATTCAATCATAAAAGTTAATATTATAGATATGGAAAATCCAAGATATAGAGGCGATTCTATTCCTTCTAAAATATTCAAAGTTTTGGATAATAGTGGTAAACAATTTAGTATAATTCTGGTGGTGGTAATAATAATATTACGCCAAGCAACGTTATCGCTTATTTTAAATCTATTGACACGTTTTATTGGTTAAATTGGGAACTTGAAGATTGATGATTATATATAAACATATTATATGCTCAAGTTTTACCCATCGAATCCATTATATGATAAATCCATAATAAAAATAAATAATGTAAAAAAAAAAAAAATATTTAAATTTAAAGAAAATTAGTTATATATTTATCATACTAATCAAACAATTATTTGTGTACGGTTATCAGTTGACGATGATAAATTTTTACACAACGAAACGGATCCTCGTTACAAAGGTGCGTCGATACCATCTCGAAGTTTCCGAATGTTGCAAACATTAACGAACTCTGCACCTGGTAAAATACGTTTATGGATCCCTTTGTGACTGTCTCGATTTTATCTACTAACCAAGTTATTGTTGTTGATAGATTTAAGCTACGCTGCTAGTAGTTTGCTTTGAGCTTCTAAATAATTTAAGTTCTACTATAGTTTATTAATTTCGAGAATTAAATGTTTTAATTTAATTATTTACAGTTCCAATGGACGATAATAGACCATCAGAACCGATAAACAATTATGTATCAGGTAATATAAATTTAAGCAAATCCTGTCAACACAATAATTACATTTGTGATTTCACAGTAAAACCTATAGAATCAAAAATTTACGTACCACCGTCTGAAAGGCCCACTAGCTCGGAACCACAGAAGTACACTGGAAGCTCCATACCATCTAGATCGTTTAGAATGTTACAAGCTATGACAGGCCAAAATAACGGTAACATTTTTGTTTATCTATTAACTAAGTTGGTACTAATGAAATCAGGCGATCAAATATACGATACGATTGTACAAAGTAATTTAATTCTTTGTAATATTTTGATACACGTTAATTAATTTTTCAACAATACTATTATTGGCTTATTTCAGTGATGACAATTTACGTGTAAGTAGGATATTTTTTAAATTATTTAACTCTCTTCAGTCGAAATACTACTCATTATCTAATTTAATATTATGTTGACTTTCTTTCATATACCTTGTTTTATAATCTTGTATTTTTATACTCATATAGTACATATGTTTAATGATTTATTATTTTAAGCGAAATTAATATTATTTGGTGAATATTGTCCAAATGTTAAATTAGTTGTTAATAATATCATAACCACTAATCATTATTTAGAAGTTGGACTAATTTTCGTATATTTTTTGCTTGTGTATTTAAAATCGCATGTCTGTAACAATGTAATTTAAATAAAATACAATTTTGTGAATAGATTTATTTTAGTGTAAAATTAATTAAAAATTGTATTTGATAGTTATTTAGAGAATATATATTTTTAGAAATCTATATTTAGGCCAATAGTTAATGTAGGTGTATCCATAAAGAATAAGTACACTCTATCACTAATATTGTACAAAAAGTACCTCGCTGCCAGAGGGTAGTATATAATTAGTAATATGCATAAATGCAATTAAGTGCTTACTATATATATAGTTAGATGATAAAAATACTCATTTATTTTTAATTATATGGAGAAAATAATACTTCTAAAAATCTAAAATTCGTTTCTTTTATTTTTTATTTTATATCAGATTTCTGCGAAAACTTAAGTGTTTTTTCTAAATATTTAAGAAAATTACTTTTAAAATTCTAACTAAAGATTAGTAGCGACTAGTGACGAAAAAAAATGTTTGTACATTAAATAGTAATACTATAGTCTATACGTCTATAATGTACTTGTAAAGCTTATATAATGCATGTATAATATACAAAAATAATATTATAATTTCGTTGATAAAAATATTAATTGGTTATGAATATCCTCAATTGTCACAAAAGGTCGTGTTGGCACTTTTACCATTTACAACCATTTATATATGAAAATATATATATGATCTAGTCTCCGTCTATGTATCAAAAAAAACTAAATACCATGACTTGATACTGAACCTAATATATTAATACAACTTTCATAAATAAATCTCAATATTAAGAATTTTTTTTAGTAATAAAAAGCAATGTCACTCATCTCATTAAAATTAAAATTTAGAAGTCCTATTTGTCAATTTCAAATATTTTTTGAAATAAATATATAATACGCATTGCTATTATTGAAATTATTACTATTTTTATTTTTATTTTAAAATATTTTTTGAATTATATACAGTATACACATTATTATTATATGAAATTATTGTAATTTTTATTGCAAATAATCCTTACATAAAATTATACATTAGATAGAACTATTGGAACAAAATAGGGTTTCTAATTATCGAGCTTTAATAATTTATTGTTAAAAGCTAAATAAAATGAGCTAAAAAGTTAAAATTAAAATTTAGGATTCCACGATAAAAGAGGACATATAAAATGGTTCCACAGATAAAAAAAATGTAAGAAATGCCACTATACATTTATTTATTTACATAATAAATATTATATAACATAAAATATTAATCAAAACTTATTAACTATTTTCCAAAGTGATAAAAATATTTTTTAATTTTTAAATCAACATAATATAATATGTTAGGAATCATGATAATCTAAGAAAATCGAATTAACTAGTAAACAACATAAAATGTAATTAGTATAACTACTTAAATATTTATTAAAAATTAGCTTATAAAAAAAGCTTATTTTTTGTTTAAACAAAAACAATTAATTAGTGTTTCTATTAACCTACTTACTGAAAAAAAAATTAACACTTCTTATTGTAGATAAATTCAACCATTTATATCAGTCATTCCCGGGGCTCATAAGTTCATGCATTTGCATGTTTTCTTTGCTACAACAAAAAGTATGCTAATCGAGATAAAAATCCGATTCATAACAACGGTAATAAAAATCTAAAGTTTAATAAAGCATGTTTTTGCATGTTTTGTGTGTATTGGCATATTTAGCATATAGTTGTTTTTTTTGAGTTATTAACACATATTATTTTATGTAGGTAAATTCAGCAAAATCGTTTTTGCGGAAGTTAAAAAAAATTAGATCAATAAATGTTTAAATTCATTCTTATTTACTTTTCCGAACTTGTTTATAAGATCATAGTATTTATCAATATTTTTATTTTTTTAGGACATTAAATTTTATAAGTTAAAAGCAGTACCATGGAAAAAATGTTATTGTGCACCATTACAACATTCCTTCTCTTATTGACGTGTCCATTGCACTCTATTTTCGTCGCAACGTGTGACCATTAATTGTAATTTTAATAAAATGGAACCGAAAAAAAATATAACTTTTAGAAATATAAATGGATAATTCTTATTATTTTAAAAAATGCTTATACATTTTTTTTTCTTGCATATTTAAGGATTTTTAATATTTGATCAAATGTTAGTGCATTATTGCATGCTTATTTATTCGTTTTTTAGTGCATGAACTTATGAACCCGGGTCATTACATTTACATATTGCAAACAAAAGAAATTTAATGTACTTTTTGTGTATTTATATTTTTTATTTTTGTTAAACTTTTCACTTTTTAACGATATTTGTAAAAGGATAGGTAGGTTTTAAATGTGCGTAGGCAGTACATAAATTATATTGGCTTATGAAATATCTTAAATTTACCGAATAATCACTGTGTATGTAATAATTCTAGTAAATTGTGTAAAATACGAAAATGAAAGTAAAATGTTGCACTCGCATCAAGGACATCGTTGAAATTAGCTCGGTCGTTATTTTTGTTTTGTTTGTTTGTTTTTTTTTTTAGAAGAAGAATATGACCTACAAAATCGATCACTTACCCCTTACTCTTTTCTCAGTCCCGAATTTTGGCAACATTACAATTATTTAAAAGAATTTCACGACTGGCACACCGGTGCATATCAATTACAACAGCAACCCCCTCAATTACAACAAAAACAACAACAACAACTACAAAATCTACAACATCTATTACAAGTTGAGAAAAACGTTACGCAGACGGACACGGCTTATATAGCGCACGTACTGAACACTATTGACGAAGAGGAAGCCTGCGCGGAAGACGAATATAAACCTAACCAAGCGACGACGTTAAGCAGCGATTGCATAGAGAACGCTAGCGATTCCGAGTGCGAAGTTACCGTAACGATAACGTTGCCGACGAAAAAAGCCGAACTAAAAGATCGGGTCGTAGATATCGTGGATTCACCGGTAGACTTTTGGCAACAGATCAACGACGAGGGGACGGCGGCCATATCAGAAAACGGTAGCGAACATTACTCGGTGGACATTAGACAGTCACAGCCGAGTGACGGTGGCGAAGCTTGCGTATCGAACGCAGTAGCGGTGGCCGACAGCAGGTGCGCATCAGGCAGTCAATCGTGCGAGTACGAGAAGCGGTTGCCGACGAGCGACGACCAACCTTGCGCGGTGGACGCAGCCGACACGTCCGCTTCGGACGACGACGACGACGAAGGTAGCGAATCCTCTGAGGACGCGACCCGGTCACCGCCGGGCGACGATCAGCCCTCTTACGCCGTGCCGGTGTCGGTGCCGACGGATGTGAGTCACCAGAGGAGAAACGAAGAAGATGCCGACTCAGGTATCACGGGCTCGTCGGTCAACGTCACACGACAGATCTCGGAGAAGGACGTGAACAGCCGCTCGATAAAGTACCAGAGAACGTGTACGCACTCGCGTCTTTTCGACTTCTTGCATCACGACGACGGAACCAAGAGCAACAACAGCAACAACAACAGCAACAAGCTACTGCTGCAACTGCAACAGTCGTCGACGACGGCGTCGTGCACTTCCGGATACTCGTCGGCGGCTACCACGCCGTCCACTCCGTCCGTCGGCAGCAAAAGCCGATACGAGTCAGACTTGTCCCGGGCGGAATACGACAGCTACTACAAGAGCTGGGAGTACGCGTGCCCCTACTTCGGATACGACATACTGCCGTCAAAGGCGTTCAAGACCTTGCTGCAGCGGGACGGCTTCGCGGTAACCGCCGCCGCCAAGTTCAAATGTCCGAAAATTCCTGCCGAAGAGAACGAGTCTTAAACGTTTTTTCCTCTTTTTCTTCAATTCGTTAATTCGTTTTTTTCTTTTTTACGATTTTATAAGGTATACACACGCACATTGTTTGGATTCTGTGAACGGTTGTTTTTTCTCTCTGTTTATCTTTACGTATCTATTGCTCGCTGATTATCTCTCTCCCTTCCCTTCATTGTCAATTGTATTATGCTTTACCGTCAACCTCGATTATCTATACGTATAAGTTTATACAATACATCGTTGAATGTGAATCACAGGCTATAGCTTGGAAAACACGAATAATTTATCTTTTAATTTAACAAGACATATTTTTACAAGACTACACACTCCCGGGGAAGTCAAAATGGGCCCATAAGTACATTTATCTAATTTTTTTTTTTTTTTTAGATTATTTATGTATATACTTCTATATTCTCTAAATACCTCATGAATAAAACTTCCAATAAGAACAAAACGCACCCCACCCAGTTTTAATCGTAGCATGATTTACGTTTGTAGGATCGATCTCCCTACATGTAGGTATTATATTCGTGTGTACAGGTATACGTATGAACAAGAAATGTGTAAATAATCGTTAAGGGTGTATTACTAACGACATAATAACGTTCATTACTCCGACCTTACTCTTATATGCGACGACGCGTCTCGCTTAGAAACTATATAAAATGTCTCCTCCATACCAGATAAACGAGGTTGAGGTACATTACTATGTTTTATTTTTCATGTATATAATATGCTCTGTCGTCGAAACGAAACTACAGCAGACATTGTGTCTACCTCCACGTACCCGACTTCTTCTTAGCTCTGTGCTGCGTTAACTTCTTCACGTTGGGAATAACACCTACTGTTATTATTTTCTTAACTCCACCTTTTGAAATACTGTTATACGTATATATTTATTCTTTTTAGTTTCATATAAATATATATATATATATACACATATATATGTTTATGAGTGTGTGTATGTTTATTTATATATACATATATATATATATTTATATGTACAATCATCGGTCGAAAGTATCGAATATTTGAACGTCTCCATTTTATTAGAATAAAATATTGTAAAACGTATTTAGATTTAGTACTTAATCTTTTTAACGATTTATTGTTAATATTACTCGTTATAATATGAAACAAAAGGTGTAGTTTTTGTATTGTAGTTTTGTGTGCGCTATATAGTTATATTAGTTTGCTATTTTACTGACAGTGTTCCAAATCTCCGGTACATAAACGATGGTTCATTACTTCATTGAGATTATCAGAAGTTCTGTTAAGACGTTTGAACAGTCTGTTAATCTAAACGTCAGCATCGGAAATTTTTGGAACACTTTAATTTTCTAATTACTTAACAAAGCTAAATGTAATTTTATTTTATTTTTACAGGTCATTCGGGAGAGTCCGACTTCTGATAGATAGTCGCAACCAAACTGCTTTTACGTTGAACGATTTATTTCTACGGTCTACACATTTTGCTATAATCATTTGTATAAATAATTGAAACTATTTAGCTGTAGGTAAATTGAAAATAAATTAACTCATAATTCTAGCTTATTTATATCTCCTTATTATATGTATTTTTTCGAATATTGATATGATAAAATTAATTGTAAAAACTGTTAAGTTTAAAAACACGAATAAAATCGTCTTCTATTTTAAAATGTTTTATTTGTGATGTTATATTGTTCAACAGCTTAAATTTCGAAAACATTTAAAATAACAGAAAACTACTAAACCACATTGTTCATGACTGTTTGATAGTATATTAGTGTCGTTTGAAGATTCATATACTACTTATACCTACTTTATAACAACTCGGTACCATATGCTTTGAAAAATTGTTGCAATAACTATATGATTGCAATGAATGTAACATGTAATACAATGTACCATAATATGATATTAATGAAAAAGTGAAAAGTGATTTGTGTAGAATTTCTTGTATTTAAAAACGTACAGTGAATGTAGCTGACAAAATATTGCAGCACTTGAACAGTTTTGTTTTGATTCGCCAATTCATTTGTGTATCATCTAAATGATGTAATGTGCCTACGCACACGAGCACACATATTGGTATCGAAGTCACTGGGTCACGCCAAATCGTTAATTCTATCATACATGTGGGTTGAACTGGTATTCGTGCTTACACCCAGTAGACTTGCATAACAATATTGTATTAAAAGACGGAACATACGAAATGACGAGTTGATTCCTCGTGTGCATCTACAAGCGTGCAGATAATACTCGTTCGTGAAAGTCTTTATAGTGTGCGCTCGAATTGTTAGTCTGGTTACATATCATTTGTGTGCAGAATCATTCATACTATTACAATGAGAAGTGTGGTAAGTTGATGTGTATAAATATATATCTTATTATGTAACAGTATAAGGGATGCACTTATAAACGTATAAATCATATTCACTGACTAATCGATCTGTTGATAAATTTACTAATATATATATACGAAGGTGAGTATAAACATGCAGAAACTATTACAGTATAAGTTATAGAGTAGGTACGATATATTGTAGATACCTTAAAAATTTCGAAACCTACCGAGAAAATCTGTTTATATGTATTAATTTCTAAGTGAGCGAATAACGCAAACGTTGTAGATCAACGATTAGTAACTAGAAAATGTGAGTGCTGCGTTTTTTAGGGATATTGTTTATGGACCAATAATCATTAAGCCGATGATATATGGGATTGACGATCAGCGTGTCGATATATAAATATATTTTTTTTATAATTTTTACATAATTTATTAAATATATATGTAAAAAAATATGTCTAAACTTATACAATCCTATTTACTATTAAGCTACTATATAAGCTAATAAATCCCACAGACAATACAAAATGAACGATTGATGAATTTTTAAAAGGTGTTGCCATTGATTAATATTAAATGTATACTCTAAGCGTTAAAGCATAAATTGAATATAAAACTATTTTTAATTATTTTAGTTTAAACTATATTAAATATTATACTACAAATATTTCCAATACTGTTTTTCTATTTTTTAATAATTTAGTGTATTATTATTATAATTTTTTAATTAACGATAGTATATATTTGACCCATCAACTCGCGACCATGTATTTGTTGGCTCCTCAGCTGATGGTTGAGTACCTGCCGGATGGTCGTCGGCACAATTTCATGATCCTGTTTTTTTGTGTTGCTTTATGTTTTTTAGTTGAAATTGCTTCGTTATTTTGGACGGGTTTGATCAATATTATCACAGATTAGATAAAATTAGATAAAATCTCATATAATAGTTTTATTTTTATGTACGATCCTTGATGTTATTAAATGTTTGACTCATATTTGTATGATTGATTGTGATTTGTATATTTATATTTTATACTTATATTTTTTGTATGTTTATATTTGTATGATTTATTTCAAGAATTATTTGGTTACCAACAGCCGATGTGATCAGACAGTCGTTATAATATAGCTTAACCTTCCTCTATATTTGTAGCTATGCTCAGCCCCCACAGTAGAGTGGAACGAATTTTATTTTTTTTTCAAATCAAACTTGTATTAGCTCTTAAAATATGTGTATATACATCAAAAAAAAAAGTGTGTGGAGTTAAAAATAAATATATTGATATCTTGAGGTTCCTCATTGAGTATGAATTTTTACTAAAATAGTGAAAATAAAAAAAAAATAGGAAATTTTAACATATTTTGTATAAACTATAATATATAGCGTAAAATTGTATAGAACTTTAATTGTAGGTCCTATTATGGTCTATAAAAAATATATTTAGAAAATTTCTCGTAAATTAATATACCGATACGGCTTCTCTGTTTATATAATTTGTATTATGTTTATTATTAGTATTATTAGCTTTATATTTTCCACCCCGCGGGCGTTCGTCCCTAATGCTGTATGTTATTAGTATTTATTTATAATAGTACGTCGGCGCTTTACGGCCCGTCATTTAACAAAAAGGCACATTCTTGTTTTCTTATTCGTACTAAAGTCACCCAGTCTGTCATACAAAATCCATTTATTCCCTTGGGGTATTTTGGGCACGTGTTGCCGTCATTCGGGTCAACATCACGGTAAGGAACCCGTTGACAAAACAAATCAGTTGTTATTTTATAAAAAAATTCCGATAATAAATTATAATATACATGCAAATCAATATAAAGTCAATAAATCCGTTACTATTTTATAAAAAAATTTCGATAGTAAATTTTAATATACATGCAAATCAATATAAAGTTATTAAATCCGTTGCTATTTTATAAAAAAATTTCGATAATAAATTATAATATACATGCACATCAGTATAAAGTTAATAAATCCGTTACTATTTTATAAAAAAATTTCGAAGTTTTTGAACGATATAGTTCTAAATTTAATATCTGTTATTTAATTTACAGATATTTAGGATTTTAGCGTTTTTATACGATACTACTAATTTAATTTAATAACGTCAAATGGACCCACCCCCTGACTACATGCTTGCCTATGTATACACATACAAAATACTATTTAATGATTTGGATGAATACATCGTAAATCAATATACATAAATGTATACAGTTTAATGTGGTTTCGCCATTATTAGAGAATGGTGCAATTTTGAAGAGGAAGCTGGGTGAGCACTGGTTTTGAATTTGACTGTTGAACAATTTATTTGGGTCGGGGAATCGACCATATAAAATGTTCACACTCCTGTTCGTATACCGAATAATTTTTTTATTTGCGTATCATTGATTTTCTGATCGAGTACCGAAAATGTTTACCATCAATGAAGTACTCTGAAATAACTGATCACTAGGGTTGGGATTTTATAGCACTTAAAATAGCTTAAATATGCGCTATAATATAAGCTCTAAAAATATTCAATAAAAACAACAAAAAAAAGGAAATTTATTATTTAATAATTTTATACGAGCACACGAGACGAATGTGGACTGTATAAAGCGAATTCTACACTTGTTCGTTGATAATCGGCTATTAGTAGATTTAGTGGAAATCGACAAAAAAAACCAACAAAATCAGCAGATAATAAAAATTAGAACCAAATAACTAAAACGAAATTACTGTATTATATTATACCTACCTATACATTATCACTTTAATTGTACAGAGTTGCATCAGCGTAATCGGTCTATTTACTTAATCTATACATTAATAATTTAATTTAAAATTAAAATTAAAATTTTGAATCTTGAAAATTCGATTAACAAAAATCAAAAAACACGTTTACCGAAATACAATTTTATAAAATATGCCTGATTTTGATTAAATCACAGGTAAAAGCAGTGCTCGACTTGAGGGGGGACGCAAGGGGAAGGAGTACCCCAACTAATTTTTAGAAATTTTAGCGTCCCCCTACTATTATTATGTTATAATTATAACGCTTAACAAGTTTCAGGAACGCTATTTTTTTTTTAAAGTAAATAGAGTCCCTCTTTTTAATTTTTCCAAGTCGAGTATTGGGTAAAAGGCAAAAAAGTCTCAACAAATCTAAAAAAAAAGCACTATAAATTAAAAAACGCAAAATATGCAAAAAAAGCAATATAATTTTTTTTATTTGAGTTCTTTATATCATGAAACACATTTTTAGCTTACTCTGCTATTTTTTAAGCATCTCATAAGAAATATACAAATGCTATACAATCCTAACCCTACTGATCACTATTCCAATAATGCCGTAACCCAAAATCTCTAAGACTTGGTAGATTTGAGCAATTATTACAATGTACACTTACATGCAGAAATCATGCACTTGTATAATAATATTAAATAGAAATGGATGACCTATTTCAAGTATTCGACTTTTTTCTCGAGTATTCTGCATTTTTGAAATACTCAAATGTTGAACTCGACATAAAAAATAATACTCGTCCAACTCTGGTATTAAGTAATACATTACGACGTTCGATAGCTTCAACGACACTACGCACTGATTTATGTGTTCCGCGCATTGTAAATATAAGATCGTTTACTGCGAACGGAACAATAAATCGATTGTTTTTTCGCAGAGCCTAACCGTGACGATCGCATGGGCCGTGTGCGCGCATCTCGTCTGCTACGCCAACGGTGTCGAGTTCGAACAACAGCGGCAGTTGCAGGCCGACCACGGTTACGATTATTACTCGGAGGGACCATTATCATCGGCGGCGATAGAACAGCTTTCGCGCACCCATCACGGGAAACTCAAGATGAAAAAGCTGAAAAAACGGCTGTTGCTGCAGTGCCTGTTAGGTCACGGCCAGCGTCGGAGACGGGATACGGAAGCGGCTTCGGGTCGGTTTTTACTACCGGTTGTTTTGCAGAGCACTAACGTTAACGTCGGCCCGACCGGTAGCGGCGGACACTTCGGCGATCCGCAGCAGCACGGAAGTTACGGCGGCGGGTGCATGGAAATGCTCAACGATCATGGACCATTGGGAGTGCTGGGCTCGTTGGGCTCGTTCGGGTCTTCGACGGCTGATGCGACGGGCGAGGGAAGCCGCAACGGCCTGTACACGGACTGGAACCGATACGGCAGACAGTTTCACCGGAACTTTGTCAGGCCGTTGTATCGGCTATTCTAGTCCATCCGCCGTCGCCGACTCCTAATCAACTCGTACCCGCATCGTGCGCTCGGTCCGTCGCCACGCAACACGAAGTGTACATACGCGCGGAGAATAAAAAATAAATCAAATATTGTAGAGACATGGCCGGCCAAAGGCCGTGTTCGATATGCCGCAAAATCTACTTAATACTGGTGTAAGTACACGCACTAAACCGTGTTCTAATATAATGATTCAGCAACGCTTTGTGATGGCGCGTTTATGGCATTATCGACTTATGGTCTTCGGCTCAAATGCGGTAGCGAATCGGTTTTTGGATCAGATACATTTCAGCGGCACCGAAGCGTACGGAACAACACTCAACTATATACGGAGGATATGAAATAATTATATGTGTACCCTACCCCACCCCCATTTTACCCCACCTATCGACTGAATTGCGGTATCTTTTCGCTTTTCCTCGTGAAAACTCTGCACAACACGAAAGTTCATGATTGTCGGACTAGAATTACATGGATCGCACGTATCCAATCTAAGTGAATCAACTCAAACACAACAGTTTAAAAATCGCGTCGATTACTATAAGTACTTTCGAATAACCCCCCCCCCACGGATGGACCTTGTCACCAGATACTTCCGCCCATTGAACGCTCGTGTACAATGTTTCAATAGGTACCAATAACAAAGTACAATAGACTCTCGGTAGTTGGATATCAGGGGTTTAAGCTGAAAATTCGAGTTAAAGAGGTTTTCAATTCTGTGAGAATCTGAACTATTGAAAGAGAAAAAAATAACTCAAATTAAAGAGTGTTGAACACTTTTATTAACATATACATATATTTAATTAATATTGATATACAGAAACGTAGAGCGACTAATATTTTTTTTTATCTGCTCCAACTGCCGCCTTCAATTTTTTTTACAGATAGCGACAAACACTTATACATTGCCATAGAATTTAATTATAATAATAGAATAATATAATAGGTAATAATAATTATATTCTATGACTGCGATACCTAATTTCAGACAGACTATGTTTTACTTGATTACGACACCTATCCGCTCATTTCTGAGACTTAAAGTGGTGATAAATCATAAATAATACGAATAATCTTTAACCCAACACAATAATATAAATACGAGTACATAAGTTGATCCATACTTCTCTTTTTTTTTAATAAAATTTATTTAAACTTATATTAATTTAAAACAATTGAACTATAGAGATTCTGGTCAAAAATAAATGAGATTTAAGAATGTCTTACATACTGCAGGACCGAAATACATAAGTTTTCTTCAAATTACAGATGTACCTTCAAAGGATCAAACATTTGTTCAAGTTATACAGATTTTCAAATTATCAAGAGCCTATACTTGTAATACCAATACTTCCAACCAGCGATGGAAATTATTCGAATATTCGAATTCGAATAGGTTTAGCGTAAATAATTCGTAAATAATAATATTTGAATATTCAACCATCTGAATATCAGTATTTGATGCTACAATACAATACATAACGAAAATTATTCGTTTAGGTTTTCGCGCAACACAAAACGTTTAATAATAATAAGTATTGTAACATCGAATACTGATATTCGAATGTTCGAATATTTGAATTATTTACGGCAGACCTATTCGAATATACATTAGGTACATCTCTACTTCCGATATAAATTATCAGTATAAATATTTTTGAAAGTTTGATCCATCATGTAACATTTTTATAAAATGTTTACAAACTTTTTTACTTATTGATTATTTTTTCGAAATATCTTAAGCGTAGCAAATTAATTAGCTACATACCTATACAAATCAAACCCATCGAAAGCTGTTCTGAAATATATGTATATATATATATATATACCAGTTAAACATAACATATATAGCTGTTAAAAAAATTAATAATGATCGTTATTAAGTTCACGTACCTACTTCAAAGTTTTAACTTACTTAGGTTGTACACGTAATATATTTCTTTATAAAATATAAAAGTAAGGAATAATATTATGTAAAAAGAGCCGATTCCCCTAGAGCCCTCTTTCCTGCATTTCTAGTCTAGTCCTAACTCCTCACCATTGTTTATATTTTAATACGTAGGTGTCTACGAGGTATCTCGTACGTGAACTAAGTTTAAAAACCATTGGAAGGTTTTATTATCGAGTAGCGATTTATACTACGATATACAATATTATTAAATAAAATCAAAATATTTATAAAAAAAAAAAAAAATAATAGGTATTAATATTATAGTTAACGAGAGTCTCGAGTAATTAAGAATTCGTTAGGTTACTATCGTAAATCAGTCTGATTAAATATGCCACGCACCACCAGAAAAATTGTTTTTATTTCACCTATACCTTTCCCACTTTTTTTCTTAGTTTACATAAAGTCTTGCTGTGTGATTTATCAGCTCGACCAATATATTTTTTTAGTTATATGTTTTATTTTAGTATCCATTTTAGATAGTATGTCACAGTTTGTGTAAAAACTTTACACCGATTATGGTTTTAAAAAACAAGTTTTCGTTTGAACTATAAGCCACCCTAACAATTTTATTATTTTAGCCATATTCATGATGTTTTCGCATATATATAAATATATTTTTTTTAATTTAAATATATAACAGATAATTATTATTATTATTATTTGTCACTTAACATTTGAAAAATTATATCTACAATATATATATATTAAAAATAGAGTTTAAGAATCATGTTGAAGTAAGGCATTTTGTGTTTTACATTAGTTTCGAATTTTTAAATTTTACTTAGTATAGCTAGACTGTATTTTTGATTGTTATGTTTTATTTTTTACCTATATAGAAATTGGATAACAATAAAAGAACATACAACTACAATTGTTATCACTGTTAACTAATATAGAAAATACATGTAAATATTGAGTTTACATATCAATATAGCAAGTATTGAAATTGTTGTTTAAAGACTACCTACTGTAATTTAATTAATCCATGTACATATTGTTTAATAAATTGTTTCTTAATCATATTAAATAATGCATTTTATATATTATCATGAAATATGTACATATATCATTTGTTAGATACAGTGAATGATGTACAGTAGTGTAATTTCGAATATTTTGTGGGAGTGTTATGAATTAATAATTATATTATTCTATTATTATTATAAATACAAATAAAGAGTTATTTATTACCATACAATAAATTAATGTTCTTTCTTTTTATCTACGTATTAAATTATTAAGGCGTTTTGATATTTTTTTTTTTTTAGTGGGTCAAGATTCGGACTTTCCCTCCCTCCAAAAAATACGCCATTAATGATGTATCAGTAGACCAGTTACAGCATAGTGGTGTCCTCAAAATTTGCTTATATGGCGCCGAAAATATTTTCACATATTTTTTAGGTCTAGACCCATTGAAGAATTTGATCTCCGTAGAGCTAATCGCTTATTATTGTCATAGAATTAGTTAGATTAAATTGTTAAATTCAAAATAAATATACTTGTAATCCTATTATTTTTACTATTTTTAGCATAATTGTGTTACATAGGGATGGTTTTAAATATTTTCTGAAATAACAAGTAATTTGTGCAACTCATTAATAAATAATGGTTATAAATATATTAATATTGCTTATTGTCACAATTTACAATTGAGAATATTGAATGTGACTTAAATTGATTAACTATGTGAGTGGTAAAATATGTACAGTCAATAATGATATTAAAATAATTGAGAATAACTAAACATTAAATAATTTAACTATTTTTACCAAAAAAATAATGAAAAATTTAATTAAAATTAAAAATTATTAAATGGTTAATACTTGTAAATTAGTATGTAAATAAATAAAAAAATAGCTTAAATACACAAATAAATAAATTAATGCTTAGTCTAGAGTATTATTATATTTGTAAAAAAAAAAGACCGGTTTTTAATTAAAAATTAATTAATCATCAGGTTTATACAAAGCAAATAAAATTGCAACTTATTGTGAAAAAATAAAAATAAAAATTTAAAATTGTTTTCTCTTTTTCTTTTAATACAAATATAATACTACATGAATATATGTCACTATTTTCATATATAATTTTGTCACTAAAATTTGTTTTTAATCGCAAGAAATTAGTAAAATAAACTATTATCAATTAAGTCATATAACTAGGCAATATTAAAAATGTTAAAATAATAACACCACCAAAATATTTTCAACATATATATTATTTTATGTAAAATATTAAGCACATTAATAAACTAATTATGAAATACAAAGAATAAATTGTAATATTTATACAACATAGTTATTATGTAACATATAATAATATATAATTAACAAGAATAAAATGAGTATTAATACACCATTTTTTTTAAAGTAAAATTCCATAATATTTTATGATAATATAATGAAATTTAAATGTTATAATAAAAGTAATAACATTTTTATTTGTACATTTTCCATACCTAATATTTTATTTCAAATAAAAAATTTATTGCAACTATTTAAACAGGATAATTTTTAATCACAGAAGCGAAAAAAAAATCATAATTTACTAGTATTATTTAGTTTTTATTTAAATACGTATACACTTTAAGATTACATAAAAATTAAATTAAGAAACAATTTAATTTACTATAAATGGTATGATTTGATTTTTTATTAAACTGTCATGTATATGTGACCAGAATACTGATAATTACTTAATAATAAGTGATTTATATCTATTTCAGTATTGGACTTTCGACTAGACAAAGTATTAGGCAAAATAGGTAGGAATAAAATAATTGAAATAATTTATGGTAATCATTTTTAAATTTGTAGTAAAGATAAACTATAATCCATTAAAATAATAATAAATAAAACAATGCCCTATAAAACAACAATTTTAAAAACATAGGAAAATAAATACTTTATTCTTTTGCTTAAAATTAAACTAATATTTGGACATAAATATAAATTATTCTTAGTAGTTATTTACAGAAAATAGAACTCACTAACTTGATTTAGCATCAAATTCTGTCCATGCATTGTTTAATTCCACAAAAATTAGTTTTGCTATATTTTCATTACTAGTTCCAGTTTGCTAGAAAAATCAAAATATTTTTACTATGTTTTGTAATATAATTATTACATGCATACATGACAATATTTAAATAGTGTTCTCAGTTTTTTCCCCACGACATCTTCCAAGTGATTACTTACTTCATTTAACATTCAATTATTGTTATTAATTATTTCCTTTCTGTCTTTAAGGTTATCAGGTTATGAATATAAATTAACGATAAGAACATAATTAGTAAAGAGATTAAAGAAATGAGATACATGATAAAAATAAAATCATGTTATTACCGAATTATTATAATTAAAGTTTTTTTAATTAAATATCCATTATATACATAATCTTTAATAATTTATATAATATTTTTACCTTATCAGGATGTACAGCAAGGCAAGCTTTTCTATATGCTTTCTTTACATCAGCATGAGTGACAAGATTACTGAGATTACAGTTCCATCCAGAACCTTCCCATAATACTGTATGCAAAGTACCAAGTAATGCTCTAATATTTCCTTTTTTTCCTTCCGTCCATTCCATAATCTAGTTAAATAAAATAGATTTTTAAGAAATATTAATGATAATAACATTACATAAAATTTACTTTTAATTTTTCAGGGTCAATTTCTTTAACCAAGTCTTCTCGGCGCATTTCATTTATTGTTTTTGGACCTGGATTAAATTTTGAGCTAAATGTATAACCTTGGCTTCCTAACAGATCTCCAAAAATATCTCGTTCAGAATTTGCAGGTGGTTTTGTAATTTGTGGTTCAATGTTTATACCTCTATGGTAGGAATCTGTTGGTAATTTGTCCGATTTCGTAGGGCTACCTTAAGATACAAAATAAATTGCTAATATCAATTAAATTTGTTTAGTGAATAAAATTACTTGTTTGAGAATGGCTTGCAAAATTCATCCAACTTTCAGTTTTCAAAAAATCAAAATCAGCAACATTAGATTTTGTAGATGTAAAACTGCCATTTGAAATATTATCTCCATTTACTTCTGTATATGTACAAATAAAATGATACAGGTCTCAAATACATTCTTTTTATGACAGATAATTACTTACGATTAGGTTTATTGATATTCAAAGGAACTGATTGGTCAAGCCATGAATTAGGTGTCTTTTGTACATTAGATTCGTTTAAATTCAACAAATCACCATCCTAAATTAAATTATGGTAAAATTAATAATTTTTATTTAAAATTGCCTTTAATATTTGTTGTTTACATTAGAACTAGCTTTTGTAATAAATGGATCAAATAATATATCATTATTTGTATTTGTTGCATCAACAAAACCTCCAAATAAGTCTTTAGATTCAGTCTTTTCAGATTCAGTTCCTAGTAAATCAAATAAATTATCTTGTTTCGGTGTAATTACTGGTTCATCATCTAACGAGACTGATGAGAAATTTAACAACAGCCCTTCACTAGGTTTATTTGGTTGAACTTCAACCTTTGGAGGTAATTCTGGCCTTGGTGGTGCTACACGAGTAGGAACATTTGATGATTCCTAAAAATATAATAATAACTATAAAATAATTCATAAATGAAAAATATTTAAATTAACGTAATACTTTTAGAGGAGCAATTGATGATGTCTTAACTATTTTGCTTTTTATTGGAAATAAATTTTGAAACTGAATTTTTTCATTCTCTGTTGAAAACAGTGCATCAGGTTTTCTACTACTATCTCTGGTTTTGTATTGCAATGAGATTCCGTTTTTATGTTGTTCAATTTCAATTTTAACATGAAACATATTACTCTGATAATGTTCAGAACTTGATAAGAAATCTAATTCACCTCTGAAATAAATATATATATTGGTTACTTAAGTATTTAATTTTATATCATAAAATAGTAATGGAATATAATACTTTGTGAAATCAATAACAATATCTTCACCATCTGGAAACATAAGGAAATCAGAATGCAACTGTAATTGAAATATTTTAATTGGTATCGGACGTCCAAGAACCTGTCTACAATGATATGCAATAAGAGTGATATCATTTCGAATACCAGCAGGTAATGATTTCAATGCAATTGATACCTAAATCAAAATTTAAAACAAAAACTAATTGTTTAATACTTAAACAAAATTTGATTAATTACGTTTCCATTAGAAATATCATAAGACTGTAATCGTTCATATTCTTGTTCTGTAGTCAACACTTTATTGTAACCCTCGTAAATTTCTATAAATGGACGGCAGCCATCGCTTAATTATAATTATAAAATATTAAAATAATTTTTAAAGATTTATGTATAAGTAATAAACAAACTTTATTTTCAAAAAAATTCTTACCGATTTTTATTAAATAGAGGAACAGGTTCCATAATGATTCTTCTGATATTTATTGAATCAACATTATGTGTTTGCTCAGTAGCCATGTAATTTAAATACCTATTAAATATTAAATTATTCTACGAAGTAATAAAACGAGAAATAAAAAATGTTAATAGATTTTAATATTTACCTAGTTTCTGAGGGTTGTAGAATAAGTGCAAACTTCTTAACAGCATATACAGTACTAACATTTTCAGTAGTATCTGATGCATTCATGTACAATAAAAATGCACAAACTAATAACGTAGAAGTCCCACAATTTTCCTACATACACAAAATTTAAATTAAAAACTAAATTAGTAACAAATTAATTAAAAATATTACAGTAGACTGAGCAATAACACATAGATTTGTAGAACTTTTTGTTAGAAAATTATACATATCATCACAAACAGCATATATTTCATGTAAAGTAGGACACGTATTTGTTTTAGGATGAACTTCTATTACCTTAAAATTTAAATATCAAAAAAAATTATACATAAACAATTTAATATTAAACAAAAATACAAAATTTACAGTTGAACATCCAATTGTACGAGGATATGATTGTCCAGTTGTATTATACAGGCGACATGGTCTAGAATCTAAGAATGAAGCAAGATTTTCAGAGTTGGTATCTTGAGGAACTGTTAAAATGGCTAGTTTTGATGTTATGAATACCATATCAACACCAGCTTTCACATTGACAGACCTATTTATAATAATAAATATTTCAAACATATAGAAATTCAATACAATAAAAAATTCTATCAAAATCTTATATATTTTAAAGACAATTCAATAAATTTCAGTTTATTTCCAACTTATTTATTTTAAGAGCTTAAATACTTTATTAAATTATTAAGTACAATAATTTATCTACTCACCCTAGATTTATTGCAATTTAATATTTTTCTTACCATTATCAACTGTCAAAAATTATACGTACAGCAAATAAATATACTAAGATTATTTTGTGTTATTTTATTTTTTTATTTTAAGGAAGATTCAACAACAGAATCATTAGCCTCATATGCTTGGTGTGGCATATAGTAGGATTAACAAGCTGTGTGAAACTCGAGTTTAGGAATAGTTGGTTGAAGGCTGGTAGTGGTATCTTTTTTAAGAACTGTATGAAACTGCCAAAAACCAAGCGATAAAAACACAGCCACCTAATCCATTTATCACAACATTCCCTGATTATTTTACCATAGTTAATTTGTTTTACAGAATTATAGGTTATGACAATAACAATAGTAAATTATTATAAGACAAACAATAGTATTTCACAGACTTTGAAAATAGAAAGGTAATAAAAAATAACATCATTTTTATAAAAAAAAAAGTGTTACTAATAATTATTTACTGAATATAAAAAAATGAATTTTCTATTTATCGACGCAGCTATTGATAATGGTTATTAATTTATACCTACAATATATTAAAAAAATCATAAAATGGTTCACCACACATGCAATACAAATTAATGATTCCGTTGAATATCTCAACTTTACAAAAGCGCCGAAAAGCGAAGTTGAACTTAATATTATTAACTACAATGTTTTTTGGAGTGACGATCACTTCTTCCATCAGAAAATATGAAAATCAAAAAATTATTAGAATATATAGGTGCATCATATTTGTTGATTTAATAAAAAATGAAATTATTGCTGATATAAAATATAACATACTTTGGTTAAAATATAAAATGATTAGATTCATTAAATTGAAACAGTGTTGTATAAAAGAGTTTATGTGTTGGATCAGTCATGAACAAAAAATGATATAGGACCTTTTTTGGCAGAACTATTCAAATATTCATATCACATCAATGATATACACATTGAGGAGCAAATATACAAACCACTTAAATTTAATAGAACCTGGTACAACTACATTTATTCCATTTTATAATTATTTATATACATTTATTACAAAATTGTTGCTTGATTGCTGAAATATCAACTTGTAATGAATATTTGTTTGCCTATTTTTTTATGAAAATGACCCTTTTCTAATCACTATTTTTATAATCACTATCTAGTTTCTCACTAGAATCTTAAAATAAATTAAAGTAACAATTTTTAATAATTAATTGAATGGTTAATATAGACCATAAACAAATAGATTAATTAAAAATGATTTAATTTAGATTTTCCCTATAAAAAATTGAACTATAAATACTTACGATTGAACTGTTTGCATTACTCTATTTGAAGTGTCTTTTAAATTTTTTAAAAAACTACCAGCTCCTCCACGAATTTGAGAGAATAGACCCGAATTGGAAATGGATGCTGGTGCTTGTCTATGAATAATTTATGTATATATATTATTTCAGCTCAAATTATACAGAAATTATTAAAAATTTAAACATTCAAAAATACTTTGTTATTATTGGTTGTTGAGGAACAGTGGGAACATTAGATCCAACAGGTTCCATAGGTCTTCCTTCAGATTTCAATTTGTTAACATCTATTAATTCAATATTCACTTTATATGTGTCTCTAATACATTCAATATGTTTTAGTGTTTCAAAAACTGACATTCTTAACGAAGGATCAGGTTGCAAACATCCCTCTAAAAAAAGAAAGTTTAGATATATTTACTAAAATAATATGTTTTTTTATTAAAAATATAGTAAACATACTTATTATTGGATTAAAATCTGAATATGAACTTTCTATTTGTGAAGTTGAAAATCTAGCATTTAATATAGCTAATTTATTGGAATCCTCAAATGGATGTCGATTACAACATAGAGTGTAGCAAACACAACCTAAAGCCCATACATCAACAGCAGTACCAATCTCATGATTAGACCAAGTATCTATCATCTCAGGAGCTCGATACATAGGAGTTGTACATTGATTAAGCTAAGAAAATAAAATTAAACCAAATTAAGATTCATAAACAATAATATTATTAATTATAAAATAAATATATATATATATATTTCATCATAAATATAATAAATACTTAAATACTATAAAAACCATATCAAAGAAAATTATTTAAACATTTTAAATAACTTTTAATATGTATTGAATGAGATTAAATTGTAATAAAAATTCATATCAATTTCATCAATAAATCAATTATATATATATAGAATTATTTTTGAATCATTACTTTGTCTTCTAAAATTGCTCTTTGCTGTGATGTCCAATTTTCATCTGGCTTGTAAACTTTTGTTGTACAACTCCCAAAGTCACATAATTTAATTTTACCATCATCACTGATCAAGAAATTTTCAATCTAATAAATAGAAAATTGAGTTTATGAATAAATAAATATAAAATTAACTTTAAATGCAAGACAAAAATATACAAACCTTTAAATCTCTATGAATAAGAGGTGGGCTTTGACAGTGCATATGACGTGTAGCTGAACACATTTGATAAAATATTAAAGTAACAGTATTCCGATTTAAAGGTTTTCCTCTAGCTGCTAATAACTCCGCTACATTTCCACCTTTATAAAAAAATAGAATAAAATATATAATACATCTGTTTAACTAATAAAAATATGATACTTAAATAAAATAAATATTTACCAGGACAGAATTCAGTAAGGATAAGATACTCGTTTGATCCTCGAGGTGAATCAATTTTACTGGTAAATGCTGCTGACATAAAGTGTATTATGTTTGGATGACCAGACAATTTTTTCTAAAAAATTAAATATTAAAAATATAGCTCTAAATAATTATTTAAAAAAACAAAATTACTTACAAGTACATCAATTTCATGGAGAATAACTTTATCAGCATCATCATCAGCTGCAAGTAATTTCTAAAAAATAAAAAAGTATACATAATTGCATACAATATTAGACTCACTTGTAGTAATTATTAAAGAAATAAAATATAACAAAAATATAACAAAATGTTATTAAATTCATAGAATACAGTAAATTATAAAATTATTGACAATATCAAGAAAAATCAATAGAAAGCAAATAGTTTATTAAAATACCAAAAAATGTTTTGATCATTTAAGAATCCTAAACTTTTTGTTTACCAATAGAAAAATATGATCAATCTATATCTATATTTTATATTGGCTTTTATGCAATATATATATAAGGATATAAATATTAACTATAAATATGTTGTTTTATTTCTTCAATTGTTATACAATTTAACTTTATTTCTATAACTATAACTTACTATATATATATATTTATTTATTTATTTTTAACGGATCAAATCCTATTTATATATATGTAGGGCTATAATCCTTTGTGAAAAGTCTAGTTCCGCCCAGATAATGATAGGTCTTCATGATCATTTTTAACAATATATACCATACCATAACTTTTAATTTGTAGTCAAGATGAACCAATTTCTATTTCTAATTTTAAATGTATATAACAGATTACCTAACTTAGAAAAATACATCTCAAGATAAAATACTTCAATTTAAATTTTAGAATATATAACAAATAAAATATTATTAGTAATTTAAAAAATTCTTCTTTTGGTTATATAACTAATAAAACCGCCCCCAACTATTATCACTCATATCATAATTTAAAAACCTTTTAAACAATATTGTAAGAATTTAATCACCTTCAACGCATACTCTTTTCCAGTATCTTGAGCCTGAGCAACAAATACCATACCAGATCCACCTAGAATATTAATTTATAAAAAATAAAATAAAATTTTGTTTCCAACCACAGCTGTTCTACAATTTTTGCTCTTACCTTCAGCAACAAGTCTTTTTATCTTTAGCTTAACATTACCTAATTCTACATTAGAACCTACATAATCGTTATCTTCAGCTGAAAAACTACTGCTAAAGTAGTCTAGTGCAGATTTGAAAATATCAGACATATTTAAAAAAAATATTGAAAAGTTTACAGGTATCAAATAACACTAAACTTTAACACCATTAACTAATTCATTGTTAAATAATTGTATTACTTTCGATGTCAAACATTTACAGGTTTATACATTCAAAAAACATTAAAACGTATCATCAAAAGGTAACACTTTCCGCATTATAGAAATACCTGATGTTTACTATTTATATTAACTTATTTCCCTTATGATTTTTTCATGATATTGTTATCAATAATTTTCTTTGTTTTCAACTCTGAACTTGAAAATTTAAGACCATAATATGATCCTTGATATTATCAAGGAGTATCCGACTGATTTTAGACCAGAATTAGTATTATAGATAACAGATTTATCTTAATGTAGAACCAATACTTAAACATCGAGGAACGTTTCCGGCCGACTCGAACATCATTATAGTAAATAGATTTTATGCGAATTTGCACGTAGTTCATTGGTCTTATACTGTGGTTTTATTACCGTCATTAATCATTATTACAGACTTGTGATTATTACCCATTCTTAACAGTGAACTTGAAAATATTTGTTACGTTTGATTGTGGCTATTGTTTTCCTTCGCAATTACGTATACCGGTTATTGTTCATTACTTATTGTTTACCAATCCAGCTTGATGGCGGGGTGGAATGAAAATCAATTAAGGAAGTACAACATCAAACTGGAAAAAATACCTACATTACAGTATGATGATCCTAAATTGGACTCGCATCTTACTAATAATGTAAGTGCGTGTTGTAACGTTATGTACAATATGAGTCCATCCTTGGTATACGAAAATGAAAAGGAAAAAAAAAATAATGAAATATATTGATTTTTATTTAATAAAATTCTTTTAAATTAATTTTCTTTGATGAATCAAACCATTAATTTTATGATAACATATAGCAAGGCAAATAAAAATTTTATTAATGTTAAAACTTGAAGTAAATAGAAAGCTGCTTAGAATTATTCTTCAGAAAACCAAAAGATAAATTAAAACTTGTTAGATTTATGATGTATTATTTTTAGACTTTATATCATAGTTATTCTAGAAAAATTGATCCTTAGAGAATGTTGTTACTGATGTTATTGATGTTTGGAATTATTCGATGTTATGTTTTTATTTTTTTCACAATATTTCAATTTAAGTGGAGAAAAAAATATGTACTTTGTTTAATAGTTTATATGGATTCATATTGAACTTTTAAGTAAATTGACAAGTTTTAAATTAAACTTATTTTTAATTTTTTTAATTATAGTATCCTGTATTAATCAAAGGATCAAAATTAGTTTCTCGTGTATTGAAATGGGATTTAGATTATTTGAAACAACATATGAGCTCAGTATGTTGCAATGTTATAGTATCAAAAAATCATAAATTTAAGTATTATGATCCGAAGAAAATTACTCCTAATATGACATTCAAGCCAATTAGTCGACCTAGTCCTATGATTTTTTCAGAGTTTGCTGATAAAATAACAAATTGGAAAAAAGGAGATTCCAGGTAATACAACTTGTAACTATTTATACATAATTTTGATAGAAATGCATGCTTAAAAAGAAAAATGTGTAAAGATTTTAAAATAATAGTGGTAACTTATTAATTTATTTCAAACTTAATTATTCTTTAATAATACAATACCATTAAAAATGTATAAATTGTTATGTAGTCCTTTTAAAGTTTCTTTACTAGATAATTTGTTAGACTACTGAAAATAATTATACAAATATATTAATACTTATAGCTCTAATAGTGAAACAAATTGAGTATAATAAATTATAATATTACTAAAAAAAACTGACACATAATTGAAATTTGTTTTTGGTGTATAATTTGTTCACTGTTTGCTAATTTACAGTTAAAATAAATATAATAAACACAAGCATTGTTTAGTTTATTGATATTTTGTAAATCATAACAGGTGCTTGTTGAGGCTGTTAGCTACTTTTGATTTTTTATTCAATGGTGAAGAAACACATGGATTGTACATATTATGGTTGTAAATATATTCTACCTAAAATTTTAATAGAATCAGTAAGTATGGTTGGTACACAAAACAATGTTGTTACTTTTATTATGTTTAAACAAAAATTACTTGCCAAAAAATCAGTTGGATCACTAGGCATTTTTTTCATAATTTCCAGTATACCGTTTACTAATATAGGATTTATACATTCAATAAGAAAATTAACTACTTTCATGTTTTCAAGTAAATGCTTCTTTTTTATTGTTTCTTTCAATAATTGATTCTGCAATATTTTTTACAGTATTATATGTGCAATAAAAATATTTAAGGCTATTTAAATTAACTTTGTAAATTATTATATTTTATTTACACTTTTTTCGTTAACTTCTTCGTTTTCTATAATTATATTTGAAATCATTGTTTGAAGAGTATTAAATGTACCATTAATTTTATTGATCTTAGATTTTATTAAATTGACCTCGTTTTCAGATTTCTTATCTACTAAATATATTGATAAATTAATAATTGAATAAATAATATATTTTAATTAAATAAAAAAATGCTCAGACCTTTTATTTGTATTGGTATACTAAATAAAATTGAATCAAACAATTTGTCAAATTCTTTTTGATCAAACAATATGAAATTATTTTGAGTGATTAGTATGTACTCTTTAAACATTTTTGGATTAAATAAAACTTCTAAGTAATCAACTGTTTTGCGATTCCTTCTTATTTCTATGTTACTAAAAATATGATTAGAGAAACTATTACTTAATAATATTATATTATATCCTTACTCATTTTCTAAAACATATTTTGCTATTTCATTTTCAGAATACTTAGAATCTATATTAAACCATTCATGTAATCTATTTAATTTGTCGTCAAATAATAATTTTGTATTTAAATCTAATTTTTTTGGTTCCTGTACTAAGTTATGTGTGAAATTATTTGTTACATTCTTCCCAGCCATAATCACATCAATAATAATTGCTAAATATATTACACATTTTACATTTATTATTTTATATAAAGTTCATAAGTCATACTTGGATGGATATCATCTTTGATAAGTTTTGTATTATTTTCTTTATTTAATACTAATTGTTCTAGATTAAAAATATCTTGAGCTTGTTCAATACTTTCAGGAAAATTACTAATTATATAACCACATTTATTTTTTGTACTGTTTAATATCTTATTTTTTATTAATCTAAGCATATTATTATTTAATACTTACTTCTGTTTATTTATTATATATTACAAATAAACTTACGGTAATAAATGTATATTAGAAATTTGACCATTATGTTTAAAATATTTCTTTTGCTCTTCCAATAATTGTATTTTGTTTAATTTTTCTTGATTTATTTCATCATTATTTATATTACTAAATTTAGTAGGTGTTTGTTGAGTTGACTCATTATTAGTAAATATTTCTGATCTCATTAGCAAAACAATATCTTCAATACTGTTTTCCTTAATGAAATAAATTGTATATAAATCAAATTTCAAGAAATAAAATATCATTCAATTATATTTTACTAATGTATTCAAAAAATCTTCACTAATTTTTACTGGATCAATAAAGTTAAGGTTATATGTATGAGCCAGTTTTTGGGCAAATTTTGCAATTTCATGTGGTCCATTGATGATTATATTTTGCTTCTAAAATAAATGTTAATTTTTTGTTATGTTTTTTACTTTTAACATTTCAAACATCAAATCAACTATTTATTTTTATTATATAAATATATTAACTTATAATTATTTATGATAATTTTAAACTTACTTCAGAACTTTGGCATAAGTATTCAGATATTAATTCACGAGTTTCAATTATAATTCGAGGAATAGACTTATCTGACTGTATAAATTGTGTTATATAATTGTCCATCACTGGAAGTATTTCAATAGACATTGTAACCATGTCATAAACAGTTTGCTGTAATAATTAAAAATTATATAAATTAATGATAAGTGATGTTATCTTTGTATATTTATTATTTTAAAAATGTTAAGCATGTTAATACAATTATTTTTGGGATAAGTACTATAATCTAGTGAAATTTTTTAAATTACACGATATACCAAAATAATATATGAATTTATTTAAAAAATTAAAAAATTTAGCCAGTGTATTACAATTTTTAATTTAGTAAAAATGCATTGCAATGCCTCAGCATTCTCCAAATTTCATTCTTGGAACAAAGTTATATTGTTTTATTAAATTTTATATTAAATTGAATGCACGGTTAAAACATTAAATTTTTTATGTTAATTTTTTATAAATATATCTATGTTAGTTTAATATTAATATTATATAACTATCAAACTTTACGGTGAACCTAAAAACTGCCTAAAGTGTATATTCTATCTATTACTTACTCTTATTTGATTACCCTCTCACTAGGTTATTTTATTACTGATTTAATAGATTTAAAATTAAACTTGTTCATATTTCATTCAATATTCCACGTTTGAATAACAAATGTATTTTAGTTTATTACCAAACAAACTTAATACCGAAGAACCATAAATTACATTACTATTTTATTTTATTTTACTTATTAAGCTATTATGGATTATTATTTGTTAATAAATTACAGATTTTTTTTTTTTATAAAAACTTAAGTTTTACAGTGAAATAAAACTTACTGTTACACTTGTATTTAAAAATAAAGTGCTGTAATTACAATACACATAATTTGTTTTCTGAACTTTATCTTTAATAGCCTCTGTTATATCCCGAAGACTAAATCTAGATGTTTCAACACCGACTATATATGATGTTGTCAATTTATCATGATGTATGATTAAATTTTTTACAATTCTAAAGCAAATAAAATCATAAATTTGATTGTTAACAATGTGATAATTTTAATTTTTCAACTTTGCCAAATTGTCTACATGTATGATTGGTAAATTATTGTTGTATTTTGGTATCAATAGTTGTTCTGTACTATTAAAAGCTGTTTTAAAAATATATTTTAATGTTTTCTCTCCACGACCATAAACCAGACCGGGTGCTAAGACTATTCCATGAAAATATCCACTGTACTATAAGATATAAACCAGATTTTATATGAAATAAACTTTAATATTTCATACTTACTTTATCGTTCAGCAACAATAAATAATTTTCTAAGTCATAAAATGCTTGAAAATTTGGGTGGCAAATTCGATTCTTATAATCAGCTTGGGTGATTGTAATTTCATTCTTGTTTAAAAATGTTAAGTATTCAGTTAAAAATTATTTAAACATATTTTATGTATTTAATACAATTTCTTACTTCTTTCTTAGTAGTTAAAGCCCATGTTTGTATACTTGAAATAAGAATAAACACTCTATGCACACTGTGTTTAGCTACAAGACTTTTTGGATTATTTTTTATAAAATGTATTTCTTTTAAGATTTCTTCATGAGAAAAGTATTTAAAAAAAAAAAAATGTATATAATTATAACCTTTAATTAATAGCTGTACTATTTAAAATTTTGAAAATTACTTTGTATTGCTTGTTTGGCTTCAACTATTTGATTTTTATCCAAAGAAATATCATACACAACTACTGCACATTTTTGTATTTCATTTAATAATAACTTCTTATTATTTGGAATAATCAATTTTTTTATATGGTTCAGATATTTATACTAAAATTAGAAAATTATTTTTTTTCAAAATAAGTTAAATGGCATTTGAATCATACTTTTTCATGATTGATGTGTAATTTGTTTTTTACTGTTGCTAGTAAATCATATTTTAATGGTTCTATTTCATGCTTATTTAATTTTATTGTAGATTTATAAGTATTATTCATTGGTAAAGTGTCCATGTTTACTATTGAATTTAAATCATTATTATTGTCAATATGTTCTTTGATGTATGCTTTATCTAAGTTTCTATTTTCTTCTATATAATTGTTTGCAGAAGAAGATTTAATATTATTTTCTGACTTAGTAAAGATTGATTTATTCTGTGTTGATGAAGTTTGCTTTAATATTATATTTTGACTATGTTGTTGGTTTTTAAAATTTGATTCTTGTTTAATTATTTCATCTATTTTAATATTTTCAATTAATTGGTTGTTTGGATCAATGTACTCAATATTTTTAAAAATCATCTGGTTTATTTCCTTTAATTTAAATAAATAATATGAAATTTCAATTTTTATTAATAATTATGCTAAAATATAAACATTTTATTTGTTCAAATAATTAATTATAAAAAAAATGCAACTTTTAATATCTAGTCTTAATTGTAACTACGATTAATGTAAAAAAAAATGATAAAACGATAATGTTATTAATTTGGTATGATGTCATATTAAGTTATAAATACTCAATAAATAAATAAATAATTGATTAAATATACTTACTTGTATAATATATTTTCCATGATATGAATCACCATTGTTTATAAACACTCTATTTGCAAAATATCTAATTTTAGCTTCTAAATTAGATATTCGTCTATTTTCTTGGACAATATAAACCTTTTTTTTCGATGCTTCAAAACCAAAAATATCATTTTCTTCTTTAAAGTCTGATAAATCTATATTGTTAATAATTTCGTCTTCAATATCCATATTATTTTTATTACAAAACCCATGAACTATTCAAATATAATGTATATTTTACATAGGCATCCACGATTAATCTGTCAATTTTTTTAGCGAAAACAATATAATATAGCTAGCTTTGTTATTTTGTTTCTATAGAAATAATATAAAGTATTTTAGTTTACAAGAATTATATAACCACAATACTTTGTATAATTATTTATTATTATATTGATTAAATAGAAAAAAAAAAATATTTGAAATTTTTTAGATTATATCTGCAACAAGTACTAAATAATACAATTGGCCAACATGTTGTTCGAGATTTTGTTATGTTTAATTGGGATTGGATTATGTCAAAACAAAAAATATGTAAATGGGGTCCACTGTCATCAAACCTCATTCTAATTGCACAAGAAGGTATAATTTAAATAAAATAATAAAATATTGACTAGTATAATATAGAAATGGATTATTATTTTTTTTTCTATTCAAATTATTGAACAATTAACTTTCAACATAATTTTCAAATATTCCCCTTTCTACATTCACACTTGAGAGATTTATATTCCTAAACATATATATTTAATGACAATATTATTAGCTTTAATAAAAATATATTTATATATAAATGTTAATAATTATTATAATTACAAAATTTATTTCTGGTGGTAAAAATTTGAACAATGTGAAGATTGTTTATTATTCACTATAAATGTCTACACTATAATTAAAAGTAAAAAATAAATAGTTTTTAAATATATTCTTTTATTTTTTAATTTCTAGTTTAATTTCTTACTTATCGTTACATTGTCTGATATATTTAAAATCTAAACTTTTAATATTTTGTATATTTTAATCCATTTTAAACAGTTATTATTTATTTAAGAACCAATTAATTTTTACTTTTAGAATTGTTATTTGTAAATATATTATAGAGATAAAAAAATTGTATGATATATTTATAGCTTTAGTTTTCATTTTAATTTTTAATTAATAGTACTCTTAATTGATTTATTTATTCATTATATTCATATATTTATTTATATTATTTTAATTTAGTTTAGTATTATTGAATACAAGTACAGTCATACAGTTATACATGGAAATTTGAATTTTTGATACAGGTAATGTTACTCCTTGTCACTATGATGAGCAACAAAATATGTTTGCTAGTATTAGAGGCTATAAAAGATTTATTTTATTTCCACCTAGTCAATTTGAATGTCTATATCCACATCCAGTTCATCATCCTTATGATAGACAAAGTCAAGTAATAAAAAAATATAACTTAGAAAATGAAATATTTATGTTACTAAATTATTTAAGTATATACTTTTAGGTGGATTTTGATAACCCAGATTTCACAAAATTTCCAAAATTCAAAGAAGCATGTGGATATGAAGTAATTGTTGGACCTGAAGATGTCTTATATATACCTATGTATTGGTTCCATCATGTTGAATCCCTAAAACATGGAGGCTATACAGTTTCAATAAACTTTTGGTTCAAAGTAAAAATTTTTATTTTAAAGCATAAACAAAGCAAAATATTTATGGAATTTTAATTTTTTTAGGCTGGTTCTGTTGAAAAAATTGAATATCCTTTGCTAGATTATCAAAGAATGGTTATTATGAGAAACGTAGAAAAAATGTTAGCTGAAGCACTACATGATCCAAGTGAAGTTGGAAATATGCTGAAGACAATTTTTTTAGGTCGATATTCATCCGATGTTGATTAATTTGATATTGTCAAAATTTTATATTTATTATTTTAGAAAAGATCTGTTTGAACAATATTTATTTGAAAATAAGGTAATTTCTTAACCTAAGTTACCTAAAAAAGCTACCTATAAAAAAAAATCTTAATAAATATTTTCAATAGTAAGTGATTATTATATTATAAATAATTCATATAATGTTACCTTTATTGTAGAGAACTGGCTTTAATTGACTTGATTTTCTAGATTTTGAATATGATCAATTGACCAATTAATATTTTTAGACATTCTATGTACTTATATATTTGTGTATAAACTATGTTTTAATAGCATTTTTATTAACACAACCCAACTTTCTTTGATTATCACTACTTTGTATATAAATTAAAATTTCATGGTAATTTCTTGATACTGATAAATTTGTTTTTAAATTTTTTTTGTAGAAGTTAGACATAACTTTTACTATATATAAACATTAAAATATTACAAATTTTTATTACATTTTGTATTTGTTAAAATTATTAACATTTTTAACACTGGTAATTTTTTCCTTTGTTGTTCTACTTAAAATTTATTGTAGAAAAAAATGTTTTCTGGTAGTTTTAACTCACGGTTAATAATGAAAAACTAATGTGCGTCCAATCACTATTAAGTATATGTTAATTTCATACCTAACTATTTTTTTTTTTATTTGTTATAATTTTTTTTATTATAAGTACTTATATATTTATTTGTTTACTATTGTTTGATAATGTGTTATGACTTATGTACTCTACCATAAATTAATAAATCATATAAATATGATAATCCTACTTATAATTTAAAAATATAAGCTAGTAAATATGATACTTAATATTACTACCACTTTGTTTTAAAACTAAAATCATTTTTTAGACACTGATAACATATACATTGAAAAATTAAATATTTAATAGCATTATGCTATTTTAGAGTATATTTAAACTTAATGGCATTACTAAATAGTCCTTATTACTAACGTAATACTATTTTCTAAATACTTTACAATTAAAATGTTAATTTTAATTTATTTATCATATTTAATTACAGCTACACTGCATTGATTATTAATAATTATTATAAAGGAATATTGGTAAATGTCATTAAATTCCTCATTTTAACATAAGTATTATTATTTATCCATTTGTACTTTTAAATTTAAATTTAAATTTATTTATTATATACAATTTTCATGAATAGCCGAAGTTATTACTTTTTAGTTCCTAATATATTTTAAAATAGTCTTATTTATATTTTACATAAATAATATTTAAATTGTAAACTTATTTAATTAGAATGTGAATTTTTTTTGTGAGTTGAATGTATCTTAATTAGTGTTTGCTAGTCTTCATTTTTTCATTTTAGTAACTTATGATTAAAGATATTGTTTAATACCATTTTTACGACTGTTTATACGATATTATTAGATATGTTAAATTTTCTTGATTATTTATTTTTCTTGGATATGAAACCAATAAATAGATGGTAAAATTAAACTCTATCAATTAAATGTTTTATTTTAATTAAAATTAATTTTAATTTATTTGAAAAATAGTTAGTTGTATCGATATTTTTAACACGGTGCAATTTTGATCAATTTTCATATGTGATGTGTGTGTGTATATATATATCAGATAACTCAATCAATTTTAATTTGGTATTAACATGTTAAGTTGTAATTTAATTTTTATATTATAAAATGCATGAAGATAAGCCTATATTTATTACCTATTTATCAAGAGAAGCAAGTTAGTGTACACTTAATTTAAAGCATTTAAAAGTAACAGGGGGGACAATATTGCAAATAGCTTGGTATTAAAAAAATCTAATTTTGATTCTTCAAATGGTACGTAGTACTTGATTCGTTTTTTTCTTATGCATGAATATGGTATTATTGAGTTTTAAATAATCTCAGTAACAAATTTATTTATTTTTTTAGAAGGTCCCTATCGTGAATGTGATAACATATACTATCTAGCAGGGCCGGCCCAAGCAAAAATAGTGCACTAGGCAAAATAAAATTTTGCCGCCTCTAAAAAAAAATTGAGCTCTTATTTTAACTTAGCTCCTCCCCCTATTTTCTATCGGAAATCTCGGAAGTGTTTGTACGGTTATTTATGTATTTGGAATAATTGAAAACGCCCAGCGTAGGCCGTAAATTAAAGTAATATAATAACTTTAGACAATATTATTTTACTATATAGATAAGTGGTTTTCACGAATGAATTAATTTAAATATTTTTTTTATAAAACACCAATAGAATTACAAAAAATGTAGGTACGAGTTAATTTTAAAAATATTGCCCTTACTAAAGTGCCGCTCTAGGCAGGTGTCTAGCTCGCCTATACCTTGAGCTTGCTCTGTACCTATGTAATAAGTGTATAACCCTTTGAGCTCTAAATATATTCAACCTCATAAAGTTGTTGATAGTCTATTGTATTTATTACTGTTTGAATGTACACGGTCTATTAAGTAAGCCTCTGTGATGAAAAAAACAAACTAAAACATGTGGTCGCTCCTTCCAAATATTTAATTATCTACTATTATTGGTAATATAAATGAGAAGACTATTTTTATTAATTAATCTCGCATTGCAGCAGTTTTTTGTACTCTTTACGCATACCTATTGGTTAGTTTGAAAACGTACTCGTCTGTTTTAGAAGGGATAAAAATGAAAGCCATCAGCTTAAGAACACATGGTAATATATTAAAAATAATATAGTTTTTAAACAATGCTAATTCAATGATTACAAATTATATAATATATAGGAAGAAAATGTAAACGAACATAATACCTCAAATTACATAAAACCCATTGTTTAATCTGTGATCGTATAGTATTATTCTAAAACAAAATTCGTTAAACAAATAAATATATCTTTATATATATATATAAGGTAGACGTCTTAACGAGTAAAACACTATACAAAAATATATAATATGTAATCTAAGTACATTTGAATGCTAGAGTATAATAATAATATTATTTCCATTTTTTATTTTGTGTAGTGACTGGTCGCTTAACGATTTCGAACGACCGGACGTAATCAGGCATGTCACCGACGTCGACCAGTATCCTGGTGTATAGTTTCTCGGAATCGACTCTGAACACTTCGTACTTGAGTGTATTTAGCCCATCGGATTTGTAACGTTTCTGACTTGTGTGCACCAGTTTCAAACGCACTGCGTGGGCGAGCGGTCTCCGTTTCACGTGTTTGACCATCGTGTAACGGCCGAGATGTTCCGGTGGTCGAGTAATGGGCAAGCCGACCTGTTCCAACCTAGGCGTCAAAGAAATGCACAAAAATACTATATTAACCTAACCGAAGGTAAATTTTGATCAGATTTTAAATTTCATGGGCGTTATACACTATTATTATCAGTGCTCGACTTGGCAAAATTAAAGAAGGGGGACTCTATTTACTTTAAAATAAATAAAATCTCCAAAACTTGTCAACCATTATAATTATAACGTAAAAATAATAGGGGTCGCTAAAATTTCTGAAAATTAGTTGGAGTTCTCTGTCCCCTTACGCCCCCCACAAGTTAAGCACTGATTATTATTGCAATGGAATCTCGAAACTCGATGAGCCAACATGTTTTTAACAACAATAAATCCTAAAAGAAATTCCCTTTATATCAAATATACCATCAAGGTTGTAGGTAAGGTGAATTGGCCCCACCGAGAATTGAGGAATTTTCTCAATGGACTGCTCCGTAGACTTGGCCGTAGCTCAACATAATTGACAAAGACCGTGCGCTGGACTATTAACTATTTTCCTGTACTGAAATATTTTCCCGATCCATCCCTGGTTGTAGGTATTAAATGTTTCTGTTGTATTACAACTTATGCAAGTGTTAAATGTTTTCCGTTTGATAACAACAACAGTAAGAAGGCTAATGAATAAACCTTATGCGCATCGAGCTGTCGAGATTCTACTGCTGTATTTCATATTTGTCTACTATAATTTATATACCTGTATCCCATATCATCGTCTTCGCCTCCCCAGCCCCAAAACAGATTCGAATAGCCGTTGACCAGAAAATAATGATTGGGTCTTATGTTGAACACGCCGCCCACCAAATTGTGGTAAGGTAATCTAGATATACACAGGATAAAAGAACAATAATTTAGTGCAGGTTAGGTTAAGTAACACGTATGATCATTGATGACTTATTTTCCGGGATGGGTATCAAGCCTATCAAAAGTGGATATCTAAACGACTAGGTGACGTTCTGTTAACGAAAATCACGATTAAAAATAGTTTTTTATTTGCATTGATTTTTTACCGATAATAAGTCCTTACATCATTCTATTTGAAATGTTTATAAACAGAGGACAACTATAACCAAAGTTAGCTACAGAGGCGTATTTAGACTTACTTCTAGGGAGGAATTTCTTTAATTCAGGCTCAAAATTTACAAGTAAAATTTTTGGTAATATTTATATCAAGTGAATCCTTAATATTTGTGGTTTTTTTTTTGAATCTAATGCTGGATCCATTTAGAATGGTATTTTGTGTAGTTCTTTTTTAACACCTATTTGTGTTTTGAAAGTTTCGCTTGTGTTTTATCTAATTTTTCACTAAGTATGGACTAAGTTTTCAATCAAAATAATATATATTATTTATCGTTATGGGACATATAAGCGTTATAAGCAATTGAGCGTTTAACGCTATAAATAATTTAAACGTTATTCAATTTAACCGTTTAAACGTTTAAAAAATTTTCCGTTTACCGTTATTAACAATATGAACAGTAACAATATGTTATTGACGTTATGAATTGCGTTATTTAAATTAGTGTAAAATTTGAAACGTTTTCAAATGTAGTAATACTATAAAATAAATCATAATTTTTGTTTCTTAATAAAATACCTATTACTTATATAAAAATTGTCTTGGTCTAAAAATTCTCGGGGGGGGGGGGGGATTGTCCTCATCGCCCCCTCAAATATTCCACTGGTTAGCTATTGAAGGGTATTGATTTGTAACTAGCCACATTCGTTACACATTATACGAGTATCTATAGCAATTCTTTGATTTGCAACTTGACTACTTTTTTAAGACTGCTCGAGTTGATAGTTATAACCAATTTCTAGTGGTGAATAGCAATATTGCCGAATATCCAGGAGAACTAGTCCCCCTAAAAGATTGACGAACCTCCCTAAAATTATTACTAATTTCAGCTAAGTAATCAAAAAATGGGTGAGGAATTTATTTTAGCTTTTTTTTTATAGAATGGCATTATAATTTTTATATTTGATAAATACTACTAAAAATGTAATAAAACCTTTCTTATACATAAATCGTAATGGATAGTGAAAAAAAAATTTTATACATAAAGGTTTGAATTTTAAATTTTGACAAAACTCGACATCGTTTCTTCCTTTCACTACTCTCTAATAGTGCTAAAAGAAGGAGGACTTACTCCTCGTCAGAACTACTCATTATTTAGAGAAAATTTTGCGAACCTGCTCTTTGGAAAACTATCATAATACTGGATCGCTCGTTTAAATAACGCTTTGTGTGTACGTAGCCATATCGCTGACTGCCGAGGAAAACGCGCGTTCGTTGATCGCCGCGTCAGTACGCGTCCTGCGTGGCAGCCTTAAATCAACCATATTTAGAAGTATAAACTGATCTACACAATCGTCTAACTTTGAATCATATTTTGATAGCAATGGTAAATTGGTTTCAAATTTAAAATACCAATACACTAATATCATTCCCCTGTCCTCGTACTCGCCATACCGTAGTATCTCATCCGGTTTTTGTCTACAATGTATTATAATAATATTGTATAATAATAATATTATACAATATTTTAGGTTATTTTATGTATCTACTCATATTAGTCATATTTAGATGCGGCAGATTACTACTGGTTGTCACAATTCAGTTTTTTCTTCTATATAACATACGAAAATCGTATACTTAACCATTGATTTTTTAATATTATCAGGGCTGACTCAAGATAAGCACAGAATATAATACATACCGTATTTCGGGAAATACACAATATTTTAAGAATTGATAACTATCCATAGAATAGAAACGAAAAAGCGTATTGTTATTTATAGCTGATAATCCGATTTTCCAAACTAAATAAATAAATTTTTATAAACAAATTATAGATTTTCACATAATTAATTAAATTTTTAAATTCTATTTAAATAAATATATTCTTATCATAGTAAACAATTTTCCAAGATTTTTGACATTTTCCGAGGGGGGACATGCCCCTCCTTTACCCCCCACCCCCATATGGGCGCCCTTGGACTTAACCTAACTTGTGGCATTTTAGTATTATTATTCAGCACTAGTTAAATCGATGGTTACATTCAATTAGTATAAATATTAATTTTATTAATAAATAAATATACTTACTGGTATTTAAATTCATTCACAGCTACAGACAGATGTCTAGGAAATTCTGAACAACTGTACATATTTCGATCGTCTTCGGGCAACATGTCGACATCATGAAAAACATAACAGCCGTACAATCCTTTATGCCAATCGTCCTCACCTCGTAAACCGAATGTTCGATAAATGGTCAAAAAAGCAGCGTTCATAATTGCTCCTTTATTAAACGTTACGTTACTGACCTTTAGAACAAATATATATTTTGAGTAACAAATTTTTACAAATAATCAATCAACATATGTGGTATAATTTTTTTTGCATGTCTTTCATAATATTTTAAATAATAATTTTAAAATATTTTAAATATTACCTATTAGTTAATTTCATTATCCTACGAGTCTAAAATCCTTCCCCCGATAAATCTTGTAGTCACATACGTATAATCATAGACAGTGCTCGACTTGACAAAATTAAAGGGGGACTCTGTTTGCTTAAAAAAAATTGTGTCCCCAATACTTGTTAAGCGTTATAAATATAACATCATAATAGTAAGGGACGCTCAAATTTCTAAAAATTAGAAGGGGTACGCCGTCCCCCTGCGTCCCCCCTCAAATTGAGCACTGATCATAGCCCATAAGCTTGCTAATATAATATAACCTACAATGTAATAAAATACCGTTCGAAATAAAGTGTTATGTTGAGATTAAAGTATTGTATTGTAATTCGTATATGAAATAATCTAATTGCGTAATACATGATAGTGATTCTTACTTGTTCAACGACGAATATCTTAAAATCCAATTGTTGCCGTTTCAACACCGGTATGAGCCTATAGAGTAATGTCCATAGATGATCCTTTCTATCTCTGTAGGGTATAATAATGCACACAGAGTGTCTAGCTTTGCAATCATCGGGAGCCCAAGAACCACCAACACCCATTGCTCCCACAGCATCCACGATTTCCTCTTCGGTCATATTAACAGCGGAACTATCCAATTTTTCAGCTCCGTCTTTAAATTTAAATAACCAATGATTATGTCATCAAATTGAACAACATTATACGATAAAACATGTTAAAACATGTTCTATTATTTGTTAATCATATTTTAAACACGGGGTGAAAAAGATTTTCAATTATTTAAATAAATATATTCAGGCTATAGAAATAATAGCTATGTAAGTTAATATAGATGTACGAGAACTTAATTTTCGTTTTAAGAGTAGAAGCGTAGGTATACATTTTAACTGTATATTTTTAGATTAATCATATTTGCTTGAATACATATTCATTTACATTAAAATAATCATCCTGTAATATATATATATACTCAAATATTACACATTTACACAGTCATTCAATTTAATTTATTAACAATTCATAGATGTGTCATTGATGTCATAGATGGTAACAGCTGTGGTAACATAAATCAATGTATTGTTATCAAAGAACTAACTAGTACCCGATATCTAGGTATCATATTTGATAAAAATTTACGATAGAATCTTCACATACAAACCCCAGTTGTAATGTTACGATCAATAACTTATACATTATGTAAGTTAAAGGGATTATTGCCCAAACAAACAATGCGTGTTATTTATTTTGCTCTAAACCAATCAATATTCCAGTATGGAATGTTAATATTGAGGGGGGGGGATTAAGTGATACAATTTCAAATAAATTGCAAGTAAACCAGAATAACATTGTAAGAATCTGCTTAAATAAGTACTTCCTAACAGGTTTTACGAATCAAAATTATAGGGAACAAGTTATTTTACTAACTGAATTATTCTATAAAAAATAGCCATTTTGTTCACTTTTAAAAGGTTTATACAAGATAAAGATTACAAACTGTTGGAAGGTTAAAGAAAAAATATATTGTATAATATACCTGTTAAATATTCTTATAAATCTTTTGTTAATTACTTAGGGCCAGCGTTCTTTAACTCTATGCCATGTCAATATAAAAAAAATATACGCTATTCTAAAAGTAATGTTAAAAAAATGTGTATCATTGGTTGTTTTCTCAATAAGTCCTTCATATGTTTTTGTTATATTTAATTTTTTATCAAAATCACACGGCGTCAAGTTGTAAGATCGAAGTTGGTAGTTTTGGCAACGCATCTGTCCGAGATTTTCTCACACAGCAGAGGGATTGTTTCTCTTGAAGTGTAACAAGTTACGCCGTCTTGTTGTAACCATACAGAATACCTACTGAGCTCAGTAATTTTCTTTGGCCTTATTTGGACCAAATGAACATAAAAAATGTTTGGTTTCAATTTGTCACACTTCTAGAGAAACCATCACTCTGTTGTGTAAGAAGTTCCTGGACAGACTAATTTCGTTACATTTGGCCAAAGCTACCCACCTCGATCTTCCGACTTGACGCCGAGTGATTTTTTCTTATAGGGATACACTAAGTCACGAGTTTACCAAAACAAAGTTCTCAATGTCTTAGAACTTAAGCAAAAAATTCGTCGTGTCCTCAACGAACTTAACGAACGATAAATTTTATGGAAAGAATAATCGCCTGTAGAATTAGTAGGGAGGGCATAGGCGCAATTAGGGAGGCTGGAGGGGCTAAGCCTCATCGAAAGAATTCAAAGCCCTCCCCAAAATATCACGAAAAACTTTATATTATTATATTAATAAATAAAAAAAATATGTGATTGCTACTAAAAAATTTTACTTGCCTTCCTATAAGCACATTTTTTATAAAGAGCGAAGAATGGAAAAAAGTTTCTGAGAAGAAGTGATTAAAAAATATATATGGGAGGGGCTGAAACCCCTCTATTTTTTTACTCTAATTGCGCCTATGAGGGAGGATCTATGCCCAATATTGTTTTTCACTGTTAAACCTTAACTTCTCCTAAAGACAATTATATAATTGTTATGTTTTTCTAAGAGAAATAAATTTAATTTATAACAGATTTAAATCCTGCGTTCTTATTGAAACATCCTATATTTTATAAATATAATATATTTATATTAATATATAATATAAAATATAGAGTGTTTTGTTTATATACATTGTGTATCTATATTAATATTTGTCTGTACAAATATTTTTTAGATTCAGAAATTTACCATTTATTTTATTTATTAACATTAGTATACTATTATATTACCATTGAATGTTATTCTATTTATAACCAATGATATTGCATATATTATTACAAATTCTTAGACTCGTTACATATTGTTCATATACCTATCGTTAAAATTATATTGTCATACTTTCAACTTATAACAATACACTTTCAAAATGTATGACGCACACATACTTATAATAATTATTTAATGGCTAGGTTTGAATTATTATTGAATAAAACTTTTGTACAAAGGCAAATTACAATTACTGTCCCACATAGCTGACACAATGACGAATGAAACCAATGAAATACTTTGTACAATCAAATCATTATACACGCCTCCTTACTTTATTGAAAGTTATATTGTAATCATCTGACTCGATCAGTCATTATATAGTTACAGTTACGTAGTTACGGGGAGGGTGTAAGGGGTTTCCATCCCCCCACAGATTTTTTTTTAATGATATTTGATTATTATTTATTAATATTTACATATTATAGTAAAATATTTTGATTTTACTATGATTAGGTACATATTAAAAAATGAGTAACAAAATAATTTTCATTAAATACGGAACAATATATATATATATATATATATATATAATACCATTTTAAATGTAATATTATTACATATGACCTCGTTTTATGATATACTAAGAACACTTAAAAACTTACTCTTAATCACACCCCCCCCCCAGAAAAAAATTGTATCTACGCCACTGCATAGGTAAGCATAGGTAACTATATATATATATTATAAGAGCTTTCTCAATACGTATCAAGAGCTCAACAATTTTAAATGTATGCAATTATAGTACACTAATATAGTTAGTCGTGGAATAATTAATTTTACCAACTTATAATTTACAAAAGTGCATTAATGTAGCATTATTAATTTATTTAATTATTTATAATTATAAAAGAATGTATTTCAAATGTTTAGGTTAAGTTTGGTTCTCAAAAATGTATACAATTAGCTATTATTATATTTTATACTTACATAACACTGGTGGTATTTTTGGACACCATGGTATTGGTCGACATGGCTCCAATCGTTCTGAAATGACTTTCGATTTCTCTACATTAGCTTGTAGTTCTACTAATTTCCCCGTACAATATCTATTAGCTTCATTCTTCAACTGAGTGATGAATAAATTAACACTTGGCGGTTTTAACTTTAATAAACGTTCTAATTGGAAATCATTGTTCAGTACACTGCTACCTGGCTAATTTTCGTAACAAATAATATTTTTATAACAAATCGTATTAGTACTTAAAACATTTTATAGATTTATACATATAATATGTATTATATATGAATATATGTTAAATATATAAGTATTTACATTTGGTTTTAATTTTGCCAATTGAAGACTGTTGACCTTGAGTGAATTTCGTTTCTGCAAAGCAGGAGCCTACACAATAAGTTACACAATATTTTTATATTTTAATAGTATGAACTATTTTTAAGCTATTTTTGAATGGTTAAATAAATAAATTGTGGCTTAGTTTAAGTTATCAAATTTCTTACTTTTTTATAATTATAATTTATCTAACAAGAATTTCAGAATAAAAACGAAATTAATAATAATATTATACACATAATTTAATTTAATTTACAGGATTCATTATTGAAAATTTCATGAAGTATCTAAATTAAAATTATTACCAGCTCAGTATAATTACAAAATTGTAATAACTTAACATTTTTAAATACTATTGAACTATTACGTTAACTGTATATCGTCTGTTAATGACATTTTAGAAATGTGTAGAAAAATAGATTGTTACCAAACGTTCATGAAAAAATTTTATATTATACATTTGTATATTTTTTTTATTATATATACACATAAATGAGTATTAAAAAATCTTACGCGAGTTATAGCTATAAAGCACATGGCACAGACTACAAATAACACTAAAAGGAACGGAAGCACTTTGATTATCCAAGCCCAGATTTTTGCAGTCGATGTGTGGCGAAATACTCGGGCCCTCTGTACTTTCACTACCACCATGACATGTAAGCCTCATGGCTCGCTTGACATGGACACATTAATCTTTAAACACAAAATACAATACAACGCAATTAATATTTTTCAAACGTTTATCGAATGGAAATAAATAACTGCATTCATTGTATTTTACAATATGACACAAATATTCCTCGTTGGACATAAAAACCATCTGTAAAGTAGGTACATAGATGGCATAACGACGTCAGTATTATAATTATAAAAGATAATGAAAGTACTTACCTATACACTAGTTATTTTTACTCATTTTAAGCGTGTTTATAACTCATAAAGACAGTAAATACGTTAGTGTAATGATTTAAACTCTAGCTTTTCAAATGTATTTATATAGGTACTCCGCAGCGTGCAAAATACTACCCCATTCAATGCAAACGCGCATGTGCTTATTGATTTTCCCAGCCATATGACCGGCACTCCCGGGGCGAAATTACATTTATACAGGATGTTTATATTGTATCATTTAAGTGTTATCATTCAACATGAGCCATCTCCACAAAAACGATTTTTTAATAAATTACTCCTATAATAATACAAATAATATAATGTCCCAAAATCACCTTAGATCCAATTCCGCAATATTATTATGAATTTAAATTGATACTTGAATTTTTTTTTCAACTGTTTATTCACATTTCACGTAGATACTTACTTAGAATAGCTATGTGAGGATTGATATTAAGAATTAAAATTTACTTACCTATCTATTTTTAAATAGATGATAAAACGTAAAAATTATAGTAACCTTAGGATCTTGATTAATATTTATTTAATTATTTTATTATTATAACAAATTTAAATTATCACAAATTGGAATATATATGAAATAATAACATAAAGAACAATAAATTTATTTTGTCAATAAAAAAATATAATAATTTTATTAAAAATTAAACAGCTTACTATTTGTAAACAATTTTAAATTAACTCAGTGAAATAAACATATAAAATAACATCCAATTAACAATAATTTAATAGTTTTAATTTTAATAGGTTTAAAATATCACTTGGATTTACAGGAACTCAGTTATCTAATAAATAAAATCTTATTATTTATATAACATAAATCAACTGGATAGAATACTACAAGAGGAATAAATATATTTTTATTGAATTATTTTCATATAAATACAATTCAAAAATATAAATTATTTATACATATACAACAATTAAATAAAAAATTATTATAAATAATGAAACACTTAGTGTTATTAGAAATTAGAATTAGAAGTATAAAAAATAACATAAATATGATTTAATTATTTATATACATAAGCGTTGGCAGACATAAAGGCAGGGTAGCCAAACATAACACATTAACCCTTAACAAATTTGAATGGGGTAACTTCATTAAACCTTATAATTATATTTTTTCAGTATTCTTATACGTGTATTTACTGTTTACTGGCGTTTCAAAGTGGTTGAACATATGATGGTTATTTATTACTATGATAATATTGAATATTTTGGTGAAGGAGGCAAGGTTCACAGAATAGTCAAGTGCCTACTCTGACTACACCGTGTACACACTTATGTATATTAATATAGGGTATCTCTATTATTAAAAATTATGATATTATTTAAGAGACAATAATAAATCAAAACATAAATTAAATAATTCTAATCATTAGAATAGAATCTATATATATACACACAGTTTTTATTCACCAAGCTTCTGAGTTTTACATACAGTTCGACAGTTAGAAATTTAAAAATCTGTTTTATATTTATAAATTACACTATACATCTAGATGATAAATATATTAATAATTGCAACACAAAATGTTGCCTTTTAAACAAAAAAAAAAAGAAATTTTGGTAATGACTAAAATGGAAAATTGAGTACTATTTATATAATTAATATCCACACCAATTTTAGACTGAAACATGGATAAAAAATAGTAGTTTATTTTATTCAAAATAGACTAAGAATGAAAAATGTAAATGCCTTAAACAAATATCACTTGTTAATAGTTTCAAACTATAAACAATGGTAGGTAAATTAAATTAAAATGATTAATTACTTTAAAAATAAAATTGAGCAATTTTGACATTTTCTTTAGAATTATAATAAAAAGTAAAGTTACCTGAAAATGGTTAGGATTCCTGATTTTGTTAACAAATTCTTTCATAATACCTACATTGTTTAATAAGGTTATAGTTTATAGACAATTTTTTTTCTTTTAACTACCTATCAGATTTTCTAAATAAAATCTACATAAAATCATAAACATTCCTTTGTTGCCCAAAATGTATTATTAACCACATAAAAATATATATTTTAATATCATTATATTTTAAAATATCATAATTAATAATAATCAATATACATTATGATAAATGATAAAATATGAATATTTTATATGTAATTTATAACAATAATTGGATTAATCTATAAATACAGATAAAATTCTTATATAATATTAATACATTATTGCAGGTACCAAGATATTAAAATTTTCTAATGCTTCAATACCTCCATGCAAGCTGCATACTTTAGGGTATTCTTTTTTCACTAAAAATCTACAAAATGATCTTACTTTATTTAATTCAAATACATTATCCACTACGATTAATATACTGCCTCTATTGTTTACCAATGCACTTAATTCCGGACAAGGTGCTAAATCAAAATTTTCATCTACTAAATCTTCCTCTCTAACATGAATATTCAAACTACCTGGTATACTCTTTTCTATATAAAATTCTTGAGGTCTGGTATCTAAAACTAAAAATTTAAGGCTGGAACTTTTTAATTCTACTAAATCGTAAATGCTTATTCTAGGACTAAATTCATTTTGCAAAACCTCATACATTAAACATGGATCATACTCTCGTGTTTCAGTTCTTAATTCATATTTCCTAAAGGTAATAGATCTGGGTGTAGCATCATTAAACTTAGATGACTCTAAAACACACTTCTCAATATCCACTTCTGGCAGATCAGAAAATAATAATATGCACTCGTTAAATCCAGAATTTAATAAGGTACTACGTAATTGGGTAAGGATTGATAACCCAACAAATAATGGATATGAGGAATCACCTAATAATAGCTTGTCCCAAAGATGAAAAATTTTATGCAAAGGAAAAACATGAGAAAACATTGTTAAAAACCAAGGTATGGCAAATAAATCTGGTATAAAACCTTTTTCATCTAAGTGGTTTGCTAGTTGTGGATCATGAAATGCAATTAAATGAGATAACTTTATTAAATATTCTCGAATCACAGCAGCATTGTCTTTTAAAAATACATCATTCAAATATTTCTTCACAAATGCTGTAAGACAAGCATAAGATACATGTTCTTTGCAGAAGTTTAAATAAACAAAGGGAGCACACAATGAATCCAGGCCTTGCCAATAAACATATTTAGGATGACTAACAAGCCATGCTTTCAAGACTCTTTTTAATTTTTTATGAGCTACTGATGATGATAACAAATCATTGTATTGATGGCATCTTGGTATATCAACTTCAATTTGTCTATCAGTCACACCAGCTGTTTCTTTGTCTATGGACATATAGATACTTTCAGTATCACCGCAAACATTTAATAAACATGCCCAAACCTCTCCCCTGAAAAATGGAGGAATATCTTTCTTTGCTTCGATAAGTAATTTGTCCAATTTAAAAGGAAAAGCAGCTAATAAGCGGTCAAACAAAATAATTCGTCGAAATTGATATTCTGTATCTTTTTCACGAATAACCAATGGTAACTTCTCAGTAGTATCATTTTGTTTATTAACTTGATCAATTAAAGGATCATAATCTGTTATTTTGAGATGTTGAAGACGATTAACCAATAGGTCTAAGGGTAGTTCAACTATCTGTAAATCTAATAGTGAACTTTGATTTCGTGTATTACCATATAATGTTCCTTCAAGAATGATTAGTCGAGGTAAAAGTAAGATAGGGGATTCGTTCCTTAATAAGCCTTTCTTTTTTAAAGCCCATTCAACATCTCCACCAGCTAGCTTCCATAAATAATAGACTTGATCCAGTTTCATTTGTCGTAATGGATGTTTACATGAATAACATTTATTCATTAATATTTTTGAGTACTCATAGGCAGAAAATATTTTATGATGAAATAGTTCTTTTGGACACAATCTTTTCTTAACATCCATACAGATGCATTTACCAAGGAAGTCTTTTAATTCATCAGGCAAAGATTGATACATTGTTAAGCGGCCCATTTCACGAGCTAATCTCATCACAACATCTGTACAATGTGTTAATGATAATATTTTCCGTATAATTTGACTAAGTTTAAGTGTTGGCCAAAGTTGTGCTCCAAGTAATAATTCTAAAACAATTATACCTAAAGACCAAGAATCTGTTTTAGGACCTGATTTGTATGAATCTCTATCAAGAACTAATACTTCAGGTGCAGTGTATTTAAGTTTACCAATGGGAAAAGTAATATTTTTACCGCTATTTGTCATATAGTAAAGACCATAGTTAAATAATTTAACATTATCTTCATCATCAAATAGTATATACTGTGGAGTTAAAAACCGATGCACAACACCATTGCTGTTTAAATAAGTTAAAGCATCTAAAACTCTATGGGTCCAACTCAGTACTTTTTCCAATGGCAATAATAATAAATAATTATTTGTTTCAGTCCATAGAGATCGTTTGAAATACTGAGAGACCAAAATTATACGACCATGCTGTTTTCGAATAAAATCTAAATGCAAGACTAAATTTGGATGATTTAAAGTCCTTAGTTTTTGAGCACGTCCTAATATTGTAATAGAATTAGGAGTTAACGGTAGACCATTAGCACCACAAGATTCAGAGGTATGTTGAGCAGCAAATAAAGTTTGTACACCAAACAATGGAGGAACAGGAGCATCGACACAGTTGCAAGTCATGATAAGTTTTTGATAGATCTAAAATTAATTTTAAAAACAAAGTAGTAAGTATTATTACACACAAATTAAACAAAATTCTTTAAATAACTTCAATTAAAAAAAATATAAGTATTATTTTAATTAATATATAATATTGGACTACAATAACTTAAATCTGAAAAGAAAGTGATAATATAAGTTGATGAAAAATCAAAAAAGCAAGACCAAGACCAATCAAATTTCAATGACTATTCATTTTTGATTTTTCAATAAAAAAATTATTTTCTATAAAAATATATGTTAAATAAAAATAAATAAATTTTTAAAAAAAACCTTTAAAAAAAAAAAAAAATTATACTATAATAATTTCTACAACAGTATAAAATACAGAAAATATCAAAGGTTACATACTAGAGTTATTTTTATAGAAAAATATAGGCTAGTAAACAAATTAAACAATAAAAGGTAAATTACATACTTAAGATTTTAAAGGCTTAAAAATAAAATAATACATAGCATAATTTTTCAAATGCAAAATTGTTTATTAAGTAATTAACAATTAACTATTACAATCTGATTGCATTGATGTGCAAACATAATAGTATTTATTAATTTGAAAGACTTGAAAATTGAATTAAAATAAAAGTTAGAATAGATCAATATAAACCTGTTGATTTTTAAATGAGTAAATTTATACATTTGTGAGGTGTTCATTAAAAATTATACATGTATCATATTATAGTAGATATATGCTTTTCATTTAAATTAGATGATCTGCTCTAAATATGAAGTGTTAATCTGCTGCTGCTTATTAATCAATTCAAACTTTTATAAAACATCCACTCAAATCAAAATTTTCTCAAACTCTCAAACAAAATTAACTGTAAATTAATGTTACATATCAACCATCATACTTACATAAACATGTAGCAAGGGATATTTTTAAAGCCACATAACAATAAGCATTTTATGAAAATGTCAATATGAAACTTTTAAAATGTATACATCGAATTAATAATTGATAACATGTCTTTCTATTCGTAATTTATCAACTAGACAATATTAAAATTTTTATGAGCATTTACTATCTTTGAATGATATCAATTTATATTGAAAACAAACCCATAATTTGATTACGCTCGATATCATATTCATAACCATGGTCTTAGAAGATATCATTTACGTAGCCGTGTACGTAACCATATTAATAACCTATATTTTCAGTTATAAGGTTAAGGTATGGTTCTTACCACGAATATAGATCTATATCCGTGGTTCTTACGCCAGTCAGAAACTGTTTACCGAGCTTATCAGTACAAACAAAATAATAATATTGTATTCAAAACTTCCAAAGTTATGAAGTGTAATAAATCTTATTAGCTTTTATTTCAAATATTCTGTAACTTGGTTCAATCAATTGTATGATTCTTTGCCGACGTCGTATTGCTATTAATACTTAATACCGTAATCAAACCATTATTCATAATGCCCCGGTTGAAGAAAAGATCATTGGAAACCAAAGCTAGAATATCTCGGATGAAACGAGCAGAAAAACGAAGAGAACAAATTTTGTATTTAAAAACGCAAGCTGAAGAAATGGAAATTTTATGGTATGATGTACTTTTTATTGATTACTAATTTCATTCATAACATTAGCAACCTAATATAAGAACAAGTTTGGTAACATCCCAATCACAACATTTATGTACAATGATTTATAAATTTTAAAGCATTTTGTTTACATTTTGTTTCATCCATAAATCACATTTTATGAAATAATAAAGTATGTTGGAAAATAACATTGTTATCCATTGTTGTATTTTAAATAAAAAATAATGTTACTAATTCTAATTTCAATTAGTCCTTTGAGACTGACCTAGGCAATAGTTTTTCATAAGAAAATTATAATAAAATAGTAATTTAAGTTTAAGTTTTAAATTCATTCAATTAAAATAATCATACATTTCTTATTAGATATTAAATGTACAATTTAATTTTAAGTGGAATTGGAAAGCATAACTTTTATATTACTTAGATTATTTGTTATAACTATTTACATGTATTAAATAATTATTAGACCAATCAATTGATAAGGTGCTACATTTTAATAATTAACACCAGCACTTATTTTGAATTTTTGTTTAAAAAATAAAGTTTATTTACCATCTATAATTACAATAATTGCATAATAAGTAAATTTATTGATTACATTATTTTTTTATATGTATCAATTGTATTACCATACAATTGATACATATAAGTGGGAAAATATATTTATTAATATAACTCAATATAACTATATTTTGAACTTAAATTGTTATTATATTTATTTTATAATCTTTTATTACATTATTTTTATTATAGTTGTGTCATAACATTAATTAACACCAGTTATAAACGTTGAGCATGTGTAATATCCGTTTCATTAAATTTAATAAAACTATGTGTAAATTATCCTGTGAATAAAATATAATAAATTGTAATATTTTTTTTTATTTAACTAAAATGATTTCTCATTAAATAGCAGTTGTTCTATTAACATTTATTTAGTTTAAATAAATTATGCATACATCCTAAATAATACTTCGTTCAAGTTTATAGGTTTAATCTTAATTCAAATTTAGTTTAAGACTTGAACACTGCTCCATAAATATCACCGTCTATATTCTTGTCTATAAGGATAGGTATTTTTTCTAAAAACAAAAACAAATATTTTGGTGTTATTGATTTAAATTAATTTTATCTGATGTTTAAATATATATTAAATAATAAATTTAAATATAAAATATATTAAATTGTATTTATTAAATAACTTATTAAATCAAAAGTAGGAATATAAATACCTCAATGAATTTTAATCATTTTTTTTTGTTTTTCAAACTTTTTGTGTTTTTAGCTACTTTTTTTACTAATTAGATGATTGAACTTTGATATGATTTTTCAATGAATTTCAATATGATTTAAATTATTAATTTTTTCTAATATAAGTTTATTAATTAATGCTTTAAAATTTTAACATGTCACTATTTATACATTTAAGAATACTATAACACAAATGTTACTTAGTTAAAATTAAATATATTATTGAATTTGATATCTAGCCGTGGCATAAGAAATGAAGGTGCTCTTGTACCACCTATTAGACAAACTGCATCAATATTTAAACAGCCAGTAACTGTTCATAAGAACCAAGAAGGTAAAGTTAAAACAGACTTCAAACACGGAAGACAAGAAAAACCAAGACAAGTAAATCATTGTAATATTACCTATTTAGTCAAAATTAATTTATATAATTATTTATTTATTTTAGGTGTTCTGGGAAAAAAGACTTGAAGGTATTAGAGCATCAGAAAAAGATGGTTATGAATTAGGTACTAGATGGACTGGTCTTCTGCGACCAGCTGGACCTCATGTTCGTGATGAAACTTTATTACAAAGTGTTGCTACTGCTTTACATGTTTGTGCTATGCCAGTGACTGGACAACCTCCAATGCGATCTCATTATGATAAAGAAATTGTATATCGGATTCCAGACCAACCACTTGTACAGGTATCTCAAGAATATTAATTTGTTAAATTGTTTGTACATAAAATCATTATTAATTCTTTATAGGAGGTGAATGTAACTGTAGAAGATATCAAAAGCCAAGAAGAACGTGTTATATTAGCCAGAAAACGACTTCAAGAAATAATGGGAAAAATCAAATAATATTTTTGTATATAATAAACCTTATAATTAGTATATTTTCTCACTTTATTTTATCTTGTATGAATTCATTAATACCATTAATGATATGCAAAAATATATATTCATCTATTATTTTATCTTGGTATTGTTATAATTTTTTAACTTAAAATTATAATTACTTATAATAGTATATATATATATATATATAAGTATAAAGTATAAGTATAAAATACTTTACAGTTTTCTCAACTACCACCTAACTTAATCACCATTTTTATTTTATATTATTCTGCATAATTTTTTTTCTTTATTATACGTTACGAATAGTGTTTCTAGTTATAAATTTAAATATATTTGTGATTTCAATTCTTAAGTGAGCTCACAAACTGAAAAAGTGGTAATTTTTATGCTGTAGACTTTTAATTTTTTTTATTATTTCACTTTACCAAGTTACCAATCTTATTTAATGTCTTATAACAGGCTATCATGGCATCAAACAATAGTCAAAATATCAAAGTATCAAAATAAATATTTTATAAATACAAAATTACTTTGATTCAGAAAAGTCTAGTTTTAATAAGTAATTTCTAAGTTATTAGAACTGTCTTATGTTTCTTGTTATAAATATTCTTAAGTGCTTTTAAATCTTATTCCATGAAATATTTGTAGTATCTTTCAATTCTTAGGCTCATTTCATGTGAGCCATTTTGTGTATCACCCCTAAAATGATACAGTAGCACCAGAGTTTGAATTGAAAATGCCCATAATGTTAATATGAATGATCAATATTATGTTTGTCTCGTTTTGAACATCTTATTTCTTTTGCATTTCTTTTACTTAATTGAATCCAACTTTTTACATATTGGTCTGGTTTAAACAATTGAACAGATAGTATAACACAACTAATAAATATTTATCTTATGGTGCTATGTTCAGAAGTTAGAGTATTAATCCTAGTTTGATGAATTATTGTATTGGTAAATTCGTATGGTTAATATTTTCATGAAAACCAATAGTGTATGACCCGCTTAAAGGTGTTTTCTATGAGCGCTGCCAACGCGGTGTGATTTGAATTTTGGCCTCGCAATCTAATATTGATTTCTATGTACGTATCAGGAGACGCATGGCTAACACTACATGACTAGAATTAGACATGTATACAAAGTTGTATCAAGACCTTTGTTTAGAACCAGGGGCATGCTCACGGGGGGGGGGATGAGGGTGTCATATCCCCCCCATGAACTTTTTTTTATGCATTTTCTTATATAAGAACATTTTGTGTATATGACAATAAACAAAACAAGATACAGTTTATCCCCCCCATTAGAAAACGCTGAGCACGCCCCTGTTTAGAACGGTTGTACTTGTATAATCATATAAGTGTGTTTTTATATATATTACCATGTCCAAAACAAAAAAATTAGGTAATATTAAAACTATCTCTTTTACAAAAAGTAGAAGAACAATATTTTAAAGAACTATCTTAAAATACGTTCTGTCAAATAATAAAAATGAAGTGCCTCAAGTGTGGTAGCTCTTAGAAAATTGCGGTATTTCTAGAAATGTTCCTCGGAGTATATAAATTATATTATGTTACCTGGTTAACTGTATCGCCCTGATAAAGAACATTACAATGTATTTATTTCCAAAACAACCACATAATCATATGCGCTAAAAGAATAAAAATTATTACCACCGTGTGAAAACCATGTTATTAGCGTGGCGCCAATATACATTTCTGTGGCAACACACAAAGTGACTCGTGTGAAATGGTCTTTAGGACTATGATCAGGACCAATCCCCCCCCCCCCCATTTGTTGGTTGGAATAACATGAATTTAATATTACACTATTAAAAGTTACAACTAAATTTTTTGTTACTTTACTACATCACTGTATTAAAGTAGTAATATTATATTTTTTTACCATACCACTTTTATACTATATTATATTAGATTATTTTATAATAATTCTTAATGCAATAATTATAAATGTATAGCTGTACAAGGTACCTTGACAAATTCACTTATATTATTCTGGTTGTGCTGGTGAAAAAAAAAGTAACTAACTCTTTAAACATGTATACATTTATCAATAAATACCACTAGGCATGTATAATATTTTTAAACTTTTAATGAATAATATAAATAAACAAGTATGTAATATAATATTTATATTTATTTTGTATTTATAAGATAAATATAATACATTATAAGATTAATAGTGTCTTGAGTAGTTTATTTTGAGATGCAAATTTGTCAATAATTCTTTTATTTTCAAGTTGGTTTATTATATCTTTTTCTGTGCATATAATCATAAGTTGTTCCATGTGTGAAGATGATAGTGTACTACGCAACCTGTTTTTGATGTATTTGAGCTTAGAAAATGATCGTTCGCAAGAAACTTGTGATACAGACAAAGTTAGTATATACTTATAAGCCAAGAATAATGAAGGATAGGCTGAACAATATAAAGAATATCTCAACAAAATAATATAACAGCAATGAATACAATTTGAGCACTTGTTACAGGCATTTTCACTAATTAGATATTCTTTTTCGTCTAAATTATAGTCATCTAAATCTTCATCCTCGTTTACATAACTAAAACTTATATTTTGTTTTAAAGAGTCAAATTTGTGTATAAAGTCAAGAAATTCCTCTTTTAGTGAAGCTTGAGTTATATTTGGATTTATAAAATTCAATTTTTCACTAATTTTTTTCATTGCATTTTCTGGAAGTCCACATTTTTTATATCTTCAAGGTTTTTTGGATCTAAACAAGAAATATCTGCACAAATTTCTCGAGATAAACTTCCATACCTTACTTTTATTTTATTGATAATTGTGTCCATGATAATTTGAAATGTGCCTATTCTATATTCATCAATTTGGGAACTCGACGTCTTTTATTTGGAAATTCACTTTCAATAACAATATCAATTTCATCAAGTTCATCATTCATATGTTCTATAAATATATTGGTTTTTTCATGAATTTCAGAAAATTCTACTTGCTGTAATTGAACTTCAGATTTTTTAATCATATTGCATGCTTGTAATATGTCACAATTATTACTCTGAAGATATTTAGATAAAGGTCTTGTAATACTAAATATTTTAAGGAACACTATTGCTGTTAAAATTATATATATATATATATATATTATAATATATAATATATATTATTATATATTTTATGAAGTTTTCTATGAATCCTGACGCTTTAGTTCTAGATTCCGAGTCATTTTGTACCGAATCTTTAATTGTTTTCATTACTTGGATTAAGTTTTTAAATAGTATACCATTAAAATTTTTAGTGTCGAATAGTCCAAAAATTTGTTTGAGTGCTACTTCCTTCGCCCACCATTTCGTTTCTCCAATTAAATTGAGTTTCATTTTAGTAACTATATCATTCCAACGATCCATACGTACATATGATCGTCGAATGAAACTAGCTGTGCTATTGAGTAGTTCAAATAAGTTTGCAACATGAATTTCGCTACTAGTGACATCTTGCAATACTAAATTTAGAATATGTCCCACACACCATACGTGCACTTGATTAGGAGCTAAATCTTCCATCTTTTTAGCGAATCCTGAGTATTGTCCCTGCATATTACTGGCCCCATCGGTTGAATTCCCAATACAATTATTTAGTGAAATACCTTTTGATTGCAATGTTTGAACTACTAAATCTGCAAATGCTTGACCAGTTGTTGTTGTACATTTTTTAAATCCTATAATACGTTCATAAATTTTATCATTTACGTATCTTATGATTATAGAACACTGGTCTGACACACTGACATCCTGCGTCGTGTCTATTTGTATAGAATACATTCTTGATTTTTTTATTTCTGACACAATTGTTTCAGTTATAAGATCGGAACATACTTCTAAGATGTTGTTAAAAGTATTTTTGGATAAAAATGTTATTAATCCACCACCTTGTTTACTGTCTTTGTCTTTGATCTTTTCACTCTTAACTATTATTTCATGAAGATATGATTTTAAAAGGGAGTCATATTTACTTAAAAACAAAATTATCTCTAAAAAGTTACCATGATCGATGTTTGGATTATTTAATGTGTATGCAGCCTCGTTTCTTTTTCCTCTATATGCCAAACCACATTTTCCAATGAGTTTTACAACATCAATAATTCTTTCAACAATATTTCTACGTCTTTCAATTTGTTGCCCTCTGACATCTGTGCAACCGTAAATAATCATTTTCTTAATATCTTTATCTTCTTTTGTCATAAAATGACTATTGACACAATCTCTATGGTGAGCGGAGTTTTCGTGCTCTCCGATTCTCAAATAAATATGTTGCCAATCAGAAGAACCTTCAACAAAAGTATTTTACTCTCCTTTTTTCCCATAAACAATGCAAATCGTGCAAAATATTTTTTTTAATTCTGTAGAATAAGATAACCATATACGTTTATTATTTGCTGAAAAATAAGCTTTTTGGGGATTGAAGGGAATATTGTATTTTGGTTGACAAGGATGAAATTCGAAGAAGTCCTCAATATTTTGATACTTTGGCTTTTTAAAATAATCAAAGGCGTCAGGTTTATTTATAGTATGTTTAAAATCAATGTCAAAATTATCTTTTCTTATTTCGTCTTCATCTAAAATATTATCTTGTTTCTTATTTTCTTTAGCCAAATAATTTTCTTCATAGTTAATTATGAAGTTATTGGGGATATTGTTAATTAGTAATTCAGGTTGAGATTTATAATTTTTAATTTCAATAACCGAAGAATGAATTGTTAAAATTGCACTATCCTTTTTTTCAGTATCCGAATACTGATTTACTAAAACTACATTATCCTTTTTTTCGACATTCTTAAACATACTATCCAATCTTAAACATGCTTTGCTCTCTTCTAATAACTCTTTTCGTTTTTTATTTCTGTTCTTTTCTGCTCCTCCTTTTCTTTTTAATTTGTTTTGAAGCATAGTTATCTAGAATATATTATCATATATAGCGTTTAATGTTTGAAATATTTCACAAAAACATAGAACTCTGACCTATATATTGGCCTTAGCTATACTTTTATTCTATGTTTGGTAGGAAACAGATTTTGGACATATTGAATAATGTATGTAATACGGTTCCCCATCACTTTACTTAATTTCTCAAAATTCACATGCACTTTAAAGTGCCAACAAGACAAACAATGAAAAAGTTTCCTACAAAACATAGAAAATAAGCTGACGAGTGAAAACTATTTTTCAAAATTAAAATTGGACTAATAGAAGTAAGTTTATTTTTCGCCAGCTTATTAGTCTAAAATCTAAATGTATGAAAAATCTAATCGCTTTAGAACCTCTTAAAAAATAAACCAAATTTTATTAAAATTCTAAAATATTTCATACAATTTTCAAACACTTATCATATATTATTATATACGCGGCAGCCGTGTTAATATGCGTAACATGGCGTTGGTCAATAAACGCGTTGCGTCTTGCGTATAGTCAAAATATCACATCATTTACATAAATAATTATGATTTTGATGTGTATCAGTTTATAGTGTAAATTATAATACGAAAATGTGCCTACTTGTCTAAACTCCAGAATCCAAATAGATTGGTACGTTATTGTTATATATTTTTACTAGTGTACAATTTACTAGTGACAACAGAAAGCCAAAAACTGAATGACGTATAGAAACTAGTGTCGAGTAGTCTATTGCCTAGTTGAAAATATCTTACTGTAACCGTTACAGTGTAACGTCCTTTGTTCAATAATAATAATTATTATTTATATTAGTTGATGACAGCTGCAGCAGCGGGTCAATACGCACAACAATAATACTCGAAACCCGAATTCCAAGATAAACACCATTTGGCGGTGGTTAGCGCGATGATGTGAGAATAAAGTGGACTTCCCCACTGTTCAGTCATACAATAATAATTATACTTATGCTAGATTTAAATAAAAATATCAGTATTATAGTATTTATATACTTTTATTTGTATGTATGTATAATGTACATGTTTAATAGCGTTAATAGTAATATTTTTCATCGGCCCATTTTCGACAGTATAACCCAGTTTTTTCTTTATACGTTTTATCTAATACATAAACATAATATATGCTTAATTTATTATAATTAAAACATAATTTTTAAACATTTAAAATTGATAAACATAATAGGTTAAATGTGCAAAATAGAACATTCATAACGGGTCATGTTTTAAAATACACATATTTGGAAGAAAATGAGGTTAGTTCTTACAGTACTAACACGAGTTAAAATATTAATAGTCAGATTACAAAATGAATCAATTATGAAATGGCGTTCAAATAACCTACAGTTTTAAACGTGATCAGCTTATAATTTTTTTAGTCGTTTTCAGTGGACAAAGTTTGCATACCTCTAACATTTTAGTGTTCCGTGCCTTCGTGCGGGCTGTATTAATAATTATTTCCAAGAGTCATAATTTCCTTTATTATTTCTTAATTAACAAAACAAAGTCAACGTTTTTGTATTTTAAATTACCTTCGCCTGCTCTCGCACAAAACATTCCCCGTCCCCTCCCTCGAAATAAATATTTAATATGAGTGTAAATTGTTTCCAATATGCGTTTTATATAAAAACTAATCAAACAATTTAACGATTTCACTCCTACACCTAACTTAATCTTACCCCATTATCCCCACTAAACACCAAAATTTAATTTTTTATCCAATGTATAACTCCTCCCCTTCTTCCCTCGAAAATAAATCCTGGTTGCATCACTGATTTTGAACAAGTCGTATCTTGATCAAGAGCGATAAAAATATCTGGATATGATATTTTATGTTGAAAAACATTCAACGGTGTATAAAGTGGCGGTATGTACTGCGAGCAATGAATTCATTTTTTTTCTATATGGAAAATCATATACGTCTAGTTAAATTATTTTTCGTTGTATTTTATTAACTGTGGTGTATGTTTTTTATTTTTGTAAAATGTTCAGTTATTACGTAATTTTAATTGAAAATTGTCCCATTACCAGGAAAAACACGGTCGACGGTTTCCATTGCACGTTGTTTAGTAACAACCTCGCAGCGCGTACACGTACCTCCCACGTCTGTTTTCTAGCGCTCGGCATTACGGCCAAATACAAATCAGCATTATTGTTTATGAATGTCATACTGAGAATTTATATACCTAGTAGTAGCTGCATGTTACTACTAGACCAAGATTGGAATTCATTCAATAGATAATAAAGGACCAAGGATGTGACTCATATGTGAAAATGAAAAGGAAGGCGGATAAGACAGAAGACTGGAAGATGGCTGCAAACCAATCTACGGATTGAAACAATAGAGAGAGAGCTGCATGCGACTACGTCCGCATTGGATCATGCAGTGGCGCACGCAGGGGTGTAAGAGGTTATAACCGCTCCCCGAAATTTTCTCCGATATCTAGGTTAAAATTTACAAATTTTACAAGTTTGAAATATGAAGAGCTAGTATTGAATACCTAGTATCATTGATTATAGAATAGTCTATTCTATAATCAATGCTTTTATTTAAGTCAAATTATATTAAGGATTTGCATAATTTTGTTAATTATAAAATGTTTTATATTTTTACCTTGACTCCCCCCCCCCGAAAAAAAATCCTGTGTGCGCCATTGGGATCCCGTGCCTAAAAATCGGCATCCGAATCGGTTTCCGATCGAAAACTTGTTTCGATACAATCTAAACAATATTTATCACTTTATAAATTAATTTCCTTCTGAAATTGGACGAACATTACAAATGCGTAACTAATATTTGTTGTAAATGTTAATTTTGACAAAATAAGATACCAATAACAATGTTTGATAAACTAATAAAATATAAATTTACATTATGGCTTATTTTGAAAACACAATAATACCCGCACGATAAATTATACATAACGATAACATTATGTAGACGGTTATTTGAAATATTCTGTAAACCAATTCGAATGTACCCTTTTAACGATTCGGACGTTTTTGAACCGATTCGGATACCTACACGGGTGTACATTATATACACCTCCCACTTATCTGTATATCTCGTATGGTTTTGTTTTGACCGCATTCTTACCCCATCCGGTCCCGCAGCACAATATAATTCTATCCCGAACGAATCTGTCTGAAATAATAAATCTTAACTACTCCCGTGATAATGCGTTTCGACTCTCGAGCGTTCACTAAGATTTCCGGCGCACCATTCTATTCAATGGTTTTGTCGTATCGATTCGACGCACTGCTGAAGATACCGGAATCTGTTGTTATGAAAGAGACTTCTAAAAAGCACCAATAATTTCATGGATGAAGATTGGAAGGGGGGCCTTAACTCCCAAAATGTTTGATAATCATCACAGTCAACATAATACCGATACAATTTTTAATTTTTTAAATTGTACAACATAATATTTACATCATTTTTTATTAACAAAGTAGTTTATTATTTTATTTGTATACTCGGTATGTGTAAATTCAGAAGCGGCAAGCCTTTTAGTCTATTTCGGCCCATTTCACTCCTTATTTAAGTTTTCAGCCTAATAAGGAATAAAACTAAAACAAAAGCATACTATTTAATATTTTTGAAAAAATGTACTAAGTTTTTCACGGTTATATAAGTAATTATATCATAATATGGTTACAAAAATGGTCATGAATACATGATTATGATAACAATACTTTTGTTAATATAAAAAAAGAAATTCAAATAACATAATTTAAATAATTACATTTGAAATAAAATTAAAATACTAATATATTGTAATTCTACCTTTTTTTTTCAATCTTTAGATTGGTTAAATGACTTTGATGGCTCTCCACTTATCCCTATCCATTACAGCTACTTTTAGTTCCTTATAGTTGGTTTCCCCTATATCGTCTATGATCTGTTTCATAAATGGTGTTCTTGGTCTACCTCTTCCAGCTTTTCCTTCTATTATTGTCGTTATCCATTCATTATTTCTCATAATATGTCCTATCCATTTTTTCCTCCTTTCTTTGATTGTCGTCCATATTGCTTTTTGTTCGTTCATTCTTAGGTATACTTCCTCATTTTTAACTTTCTCTGTCCAAGAAATTTTCAGTGCTCTTCTCCAACACCATGTTTTAAATGCTTCAATCTTTTTTCTTTCCGCTTTTAGTATCGTCCATGTTTCTGCCCCATAGAGGGCTATACTCCATACAAAACTCTTTATAAGATTTTTCCTGGTGTTTAAGCTAACAGTGTTTGCCGTTAATAGGTGTTTCTTTTGGTAAAATGCCTGTTTTGCTTGTGCTATTCTGCTCTTTATGTCCATTTCGCTTCTTCCATCATGTGTTATTTTACTTCCTAGATATGTAAGACATTGAACAGTTTCCAGCTTCTCATTTTCAATCGTTATGTTCGAAAGCAATTCCTGCTTATTGCATATTAATATTTTTGTCTTGCTCTTATTTATTTTCATTTTGTATTCTTTACAGCTATCATTTATTTTTGTTAACATGTTGCCTAAAGCTTCTTCACTTTCCGCAATCAATGCTATGTCGTCTGCAAAGCGCAACATTTGTACTAGCATACCATTAATTTTAATTCCTCCATTTTTACTTCCCTTAATTGCTTTAGTGTTTTCAATGTACAGATTAAATAGCGTTGGTGATAAGTTACACCCTTGTCTAACTCCTTTTTCAATATTTGCTTCTTCCCATGCTTTGCTTCTTTTATCTGTTATCACAGCCTTTTCATTTAAGTATAACTTATGAATAATTCTTCTGTCTTTAATATCGATATTTATGGTTTTCATAATATTGAATAATATATCCCAATTGACGTTGCCGAATGCTTTTTCTAAGTCAATGAACGCTATATACATAGGCTTGTTTACTCTATACATCTTTTCCATGATCATTCTTAAGCACAGTATAGCCTCCCTGGTTCCTCTATTCCTCCTGAAACCAAATTGGTCTTCCTCTAGATTGACACTTATTTTTGCTTCTATTCTTTTGTGAATTATCTTTGTTAATATTTTCGATGCATGTGTTATTAGACTTATGGTTCTATGGTCTTCGCATTTTTCTGACTTCTTTTTTTTTTCGGTAATGGTATCATTAGGCACTTCTCGAAATCTTTGGGAACTAGCCCTTTTTCATATGCATTATATATTATTTTATATAATATCTCCTTTCCTTGACCTTCCATTGCTTTTAACATTTCTCCACTTATGTTGTCTATGCCTGTAGCTTTGTTGTGTTTCAACTCATTTAGTGCTGTCTCCGATTCCTCTTTCAAAATGGGTTGTCCTATATTTTCCTGTCCTGCATCTTCTTCTTCCATGGCCCATTGTCCCGCATATATATTGTCATTTCCATATAACTTTTCAATATATTGTTTCCATACTTCTAACTTTTTTTTCCCTTCAGTAATTATCGTACCATCTATTCCTCTAAGTATAGTGGCTTTATCTTTGTATTCTCTAAAAAATCGTTTAATGTTCTTGTACGCTTTATCACTCAAGCCTTTTGTTAGACAGGAATCATTATCTTTGCATATATTGCTTAACCATTCCTCTTTGGCTTTCTTTGCTTCTCTATTGACCAAGTTTCTATAATTTTTATATTCTGACATTCCCTCTTCACTAAACGCGTTTTTGTATTTTTTTCGTTTTTCAATAAGATCTATAATTTCGTTGTTTATCCATGGTTTTGTAGGCATTTCTTTAGTGAATTTGAGATGTTTTTCCGCTACTTTTGTCATCGTATCCCTTAATTTTTCCCATTCGACTTTGTCATTATCCTGGTTCTTATTGCTATTTGCTTCTTGTAATAGATTATTTAATTCTTCATTGAAATCACATCTTATTTCTTCATTCTTTAGTTTATCCATGCACCATTTTCTTTTTGTATTTTCGTTGGATTCCTTTCTTTTCAGGCTTAAGTTTGTTTCCATTAACATTAGATTGTGATCACTGTTAATGTCCGCACCTGGGACCTTACCCTCCCCTTGAAATATCAGAAAAAAATGTTACAAAAATAAAATCTAACGTACAAATTAAATAGTTAATTGAAAAAAAGGTGCTGGTCGCCCCTCTTGGATTATAGGTTTGGCGCTACTGTTTACGAGCAATAAGCATAATTGACCACTTAACCATAAACCTATTTTATTAATATAATCGGCGAACTAAAACAACATTTATTTTTAAAATTATTAAAAATTATATCAGATTAAAAATCATATGCCAACTAAAGCTAACAATTAGATTGATGACCCGTTATATTCTATGCAAAAATATAAGTTTGTTTTGTTATAATTCCCGAATCCGTTATTTATTTTAATACTATATTATATTAAAAACAGATTGTGTACTACGGTATTATTATCTAATGATAATAATAACTATATGTAAAAAATTCATTAGCAATTATGCTAATGAATTTTTTACATATAGTTACTAAATTAAAAAACATTTTATTACATATCAACCCCATGTTTATGTATAATACTGAAATGTCGCAAGTTCAACCTTTTGTAGTTGGCGGATCAATTTACACTTTTATAAAAACACTATGGGCCATCAAAAAATAAATAATACTATTATATGCAATGACGAATGTAATATCTAGTCATCACGGGGAAAAAAATAGATACCTACTAGACATTCGTTTATTTATGGAGAATAAAATAATGAAAAAATGATGGTTTAGAAAAATATGGATGCTGCTCGCGAAAAAAAAATTAGTACAATGGCTTTTAACTGAGACGAACAAACCATAGTGCCATTTATATCTATAGCGTGGCTTCAATATAAGAGTACTATAGTATACATATATACACGTATAATACTGAAGTCGAGTAGGTACTCTGAAATGTTATCCGACTTAGCAATATAGTGTCCCAAGAGAGAAAGCAAGTAGTTATACGAGATAAAACAGTCGTTTTCAACGTTATATTTACATGGACGAAAACATGCCAGTACCTAAACAATAAACCACAACATGTCGTGTGGCTATTTTTATGAATTTATGTGTAAGCACGCCTCAGTCATCATACCGAATACAAAATCATTACTAATGTTCCATTATGTTCAATGTTTTATTATAAATGGTAAATACTAATGAATTATACAGAGCAACAAAACTATGTTGTTATATACTGCATTGTACACTTAGCACAGAATAATACAATAATGATCATGGCCGGCCCAAGCAAAAATAGTGCACTAGGCAAAATCAAATTTTACCAGGTTCCTAGCTGCTCGCCTATACCTTAAGCCGGCCTTGATAATGATAAGCAGGACTGTTGGTAATTTTTCTTTCCTACACCAGACATCCAATTGATACCAATATTTTTATTAGCAAATTATTTTTACGTTTCCAATGATCCCATGTTAATATAATTACTTTATCTGAAAAGAATTCTTGCTGGCAGATAATAAATAAAATGAATTAATGCATTTGAAATAGTTACAGTTGCCTAAATAACTGTAACACAAAAGGGAACAAAATCGTTAATGGTAGTATGTTCTTAGATCTTAAAATTTCACTAGTTCAACTGGTTTGTTCGAAAAATGAACTATCCACATTATTGAAGACTCCCGGATATTTAGTATTCCTCTCATATGTTTATCATCGAATTTTTATTTGTAAATTACATATTCAACAAATTATTAAAATGCATTATTTATATTAAAAAACTGAATCTTACACTTCACATATATACAATACACGTGTCACGAGAAATCCGTTTTTTATAATGATAATTTTGTGTTAAGTACTTGCATTTTTAATAAAATATTTGTACACAATTAAAATAAGATTATAAGTTTTTATTTTGGATTTAACACGCGACACGTGAATTCCGTAAATTCACTTGTTTAAGAGCTCTAATATATATATATTATTCATATTACACATATATTTTTAATTTAATCATATTACGTAAATAAAGTATAATTATCATGTTATTACTTTTTGTAAGCATTTAAAGTATAACACAATTTGATATAGCAATTAGTGTACCAAGATTTCAAGTACAATGTCTGATCAGTTCTTTAAGAAATGTCAGATATTATTTGGGTAAAGATAGGATAAAATAATAAATACATTTTTTTTTTTTATATATATATATTATATTTTTTATACTGAAAAACAATTATTTAGGATTTTATATAATAATACAAGTTACAAATCTTCGTTACTTTTTTTATAATATAATATAATATTATAAATAGAAACACAAAAAACATAATTATATAATTTTTAAACGCTAAATACAACTTACTTTCATTTAATTATAAGGATGATGAGCAGTTTTCAATACATAAATTACACTTCGAACAATACAGGGATCATAATAATATACTTTTGATGTTTGATTATTTTTTTTTTAATTACTTAGTATCATTTAATAATAATAAAAATAAAAATAAATCTTTACTTTATTTATATTATTATACTTTCATTATTGCTTTATAATCAGTCCTTGTTGTTTGCAAGTATAATAATGCAAGGTAAAAATATTGAGATCGAAAAAAAAAAATTGGAGGATATATTATAATAGTATTATTATTACATTAGCTATCTAGGTGTTACTCAGACAATATAAATATTACAAGATACATATATTTTACTGTTAAGTTATAAAAAAAAAGTCTTGTGTACAATTAGATATCATTTATAATACTGATTTGGATTCAGGCCAAAACAAAAAATAATAATGAAAACTGCATCTTAACATACTCAAAAAAAGAACAATTCCTCATCAATCCTGTCTCTAATGATATAAGCTTGACAACCATATATTTCGATTAGTCTAAAATATTAATACTTAACGCAACTTTTTAGTAGAAATTACCTTAAACAGAAATGGCCACCAAACACACTTTGAATGTGCCATACTTTAATTTACATTTATAATATTATATAATATTTCTATATTATTAGTTTTAATATATTTATGCTAAATTTTGCTAATAACAAGAAATTTATGAAATTCTCACAAAAAAGATAAAAAAAAAAAAAACAATTTAAGCTGAGTATAAATGTATGTATAAAATTTATTATATATATAATTTTTTTAAAACTTTTATATTATGTATAAATTGAATTATGTATATGATTATCAATCTGGTCTGTTTTTAAAATTTATAAACAGTTCTTAAATGTATAAAATTATTTTTAAATAAATAATTCTTAATTTTTTTTATTTTTTTTTATTTATTTTTTTTTTTTTAGAAATAAAAGTATTAAATGCAATGTATGAAGATTGAAGCCACATTTTTGTTTTGAAATAGCAGAAAAATATTCTTTGGGCCTAACAACACAGTATTTCAATATTTAACACATAATATTATTATATACAACCAAAAAGTGAGAAAAAAAAAACAAGAACACAAAATATAAAAAGCAATAAGATTTTTATTTTATAAATAAATAAAAAAGTATGAATAAAAAAATGTGCACTAAGAAATAAACCTGAACAATGTTTATATCAAAAAGTAAACAAAAGATCCTAATAAATAATACTAGTCCGGTATATTTTTTAAGTATCAATATTAACATCAAATACTATTAAAAAATAAAACATCACAACTAAATAATAAAAATATGTAATAATTAAAATGTAAATAACTATTTAGTTTTTTTCAGATAAATATATGAAATAAAAAAGTATAAAAATAATAAAAAGAAAAAGTTAACTAAGTAGCCTACATACTTAACAATGCAGTGGAGGATCGGAGGGGCAATAATGATGGGGAGGGGGTTATGGGGATATTTAATAAATAACAAAAATATACAATTTGTTTAAGTATAATATCTCTAGAAAACGAAAACTTTTTTTTGGATTTTTTTATTAATAAATTTTCTTAAGAGTATTTAAATTACGATATAACATTTTATTCAATCACTCTAAAAACCAAAATTACTACACAACATTATTTTAATATATAATATATATATATAAATATATATATATAAGAATAAGTATTTAGACATTAAATTAAGGTTTATTTAATTATATTTATATATAAATATATTTAATATTACTTTAATGATGCTACATATCAAAATGTAAACAATTTATTTTGGAAAAAATATCTTTTTTTTTTTTATTATTTAACACGAAATGGCACATTTTAATGTTAAAGGTTCTTAAATTTGGCAATTTTAGGACTTATAATAATAAAATATTTATTATTTTAATTTAATATAAAAATTATAAATTATATATAAGTAGATATAAAATTTAGGTCTATATTGTTGCATTGCCTTTGACGCACCACATACACACTCACATATAGATTTTAAATTAATTATTATTAAAAATGACAGTTTCTTTTATTTTCCTAATTTTCATCCAGTCTTTGTTTGACGAGTGGCGTAGGCGCTAATATTTAACCTATTTCTTTAATTTAAATCTACTCTACTATATGATTGTATTTAAGTTAAATTGAGCTTTAATTAGCTAGTAAAAAATATCTAAATTTAATCAAGGTATTTTGATGGTGGGGTGTCGAGGTCAAAGGGAAATTGGCAGTTTAAATCACAGCCCGATCACCACACCTATATTATTAAAATGTGCCGCTTCGGAATGGAACAATTTTTTAAAATAATTTATAAAATATATATTTATATATTATATAGAAATCTTTCAATTATTTATTTGTGTAAAAAAAAGAAAATGAAAGAAAATAATAATAAAACGACCATGGCTTATATGGATGTAAGTTAAGCTTAGAGTAATATATTATATACCTTTAATGTATAATAAATTTATTTCACATATATTTGTAAAACTTTATGTAAACTGTGAAGAAAAAAAATTAAATTTAGCACCTAATTCCATTTGGAGGTAGGTGCTGTTAATTTTCTTTAAATTGTTTTTGTAAAAAAAAACTTAACAAGGGATATGTCAGTATACATTATTAAAATCTTACACAGTCGTGAGTAAACCGAAACAAACTTTAAACATTTGTTTACAGTAATTGTATTTAAAAATCTAACACCTACAAAAAAAAAAAAAAACTCCAAGAAATATTTGTTGATAATAAATTATTAATCACTAACACTGGCTAAATTAATATTATGTCATGTTTTCTGGCGAGAACATTCTAGTTACGACTTCTCATAGAGATCGTCGGGTCAATTTTTGAGAAAAAAAACTAAACAAATAACATATTTTATCAACAAAATACACAATAACCAAATGGATAATAATAAAAAAATTCTTTAAAAAGAATAATAATTTAATAATAATAATTAAAAAAAATGACTGGTTTTGTAATGTTCGTCAATTAAATCAATCAGCCTTCGATTGAATCCCTTTTTTTTCATTCCACTTAACAGAGCGATAAATGTGTTAACTATAAACTAACTTTAAAACTAAATATTTTGGATCGGTTTTTAGGAATCATTTAGGTACTAAATAAAAGGGATTTATTATGGTACTTTATGTTTTTCTTGGCTTAAGAGATAATGCGAATAGCTTGACGCGCAGGTATTTTACATACCGGACAATGGGATAATCCATTGGAATCGCAAGCGCTTGATGCGCAATCCAAGCAAAACAAGTTGTGACCACAGGGAACAAGAGCAGCATCAATGTCTCTCATGTGACACACTAAACAAGTCTTTTTTGATGGAGGTGGAGATGTCGAACTTGCAGGTGATGGTCTGGACGATCCCATGAAACCCCAGAGACCGACGTTCTCAAATGATGGTGATTCACCACCAATACCTTCATCTGACCATATGTTTCCCAAGTCACCAAGTGCCGATACACCAGAACCGCAAGAGCTTACAGAACCAGAGCTGCAACCCGAACTACCGGAGAGTATAGCTGGTCCCATGGAGTCTGTAAGATCAAAAAGGCCAGCCAATGGATTAGCCTTGCAGAGGGCGGCTAGAGCAACACCATTTTCTTCATCAGTCATGCCATTGCCAGTGCGTAGAGCAATATGTGCTTCAATTTCACGTTTGGCTGTTTCCACACTATCTGGTAGGCCGGTGACATCAAACACAGGCTCCTTGTCTCGGGAAGGAGTAACGATGTATGTTCCTGTTTGGTGTTGAATACGTTTGATGGTCGCACCCTTGGGTCCAACTACAAGACCAACAACCCTGTATGGTACTCTGACCTACAAGATACAATAATGATCATTAGTTTTTTTTTTATTTAGACTTAACTTTCATGTAATGAATCAATTAACACAACTTGAATACATACCTGGATTGTGACGTGTCCGGGAACACTTGGAGGTCCTGGTGGCGATAGAGTTCCAGCCATGTTCTTGCGCGAAGCTCTAATCTGTGAAAAATGCTCAGCTGCCGATAGTATTTCCTTCTTTGCCTTGGTCACATCTTCCTTACGTCCAGTCACTACGAATACCGGTTCTTCGCCACGCACTGGAGTTTTGATGTAAGTGTTGGTCTTGGCACGCAGAGCCTTGATCTTGCAACCTAAATAACGAAAATATTAAAATCCCTGTTTTACTGTCCGACCTCATTGAATAATAAATTATTTTAATAGTTATTAATAACAATAATATTGACATAAGTCGAATTCTTATTTTACTATTCTTACCACCCCCACTCCCTTTCATTTATTAATCAAGACAATCAAGTATTTCTATAAGATATCGAATTCATCTTTGGTCGTTAGAAAAATGAATGAGGTTCATTATTGAGACGACCGTGCTAGCGGTGGCTGCGGCGGATGGACGGGCGGCAAGTGTTTGTGGAAACGATGTAGTCGGGAAGGCGGGGGTGGAGGGGCCGTTTAACAGTCTATCGGGAACCCATGGAAAGCAGACGCCGCTCACCTTGATAGAGGCAGTTCAACCGATGCTTTGTCTCCAACCTTGCCAAACGACGGCTGTGCACGCATTATTTAATAATATAACGTAATAATATATAATTATTTGAACCACCGCTGCCGACACCATCGTCAGCACGGCGTGTTATGTATGTAACGCCACCCACCCACCAACCAACCACTTTTGGAATGAAATTCGACGAGCATTTCTTTTCTCTTTAAAAACCAGACGTGTCCTATTCCGTCCGATATAATAATTATGTGTAATACAATACTACGCAGTTTTAACGATACCGAACCAAGGGGGCAATTGTGTGTAAGACTCGGTTTACCTACGATTCGTTGTTATCTATAACGTTGTATGTACCGATTTCGTAGATACATATAATAATACCATCTTCGACGGAAATATGAAAATCTGACTGTGATAAGGAGAAAAATGTAATAACCCTTTTGCGGCTCAACCCACAGGTGAAAAATCTGGGCGTAAACGGAGAAAACGTTTAAAACGTTTTTGCGTTATACGACAAAAATGAAACTACACGCGTAGCAGGGCGGAAAACGAATTCGTCATATATTATATATATATATATAATGTATACACACATGCGTTAATATTTTCAAATCCAAAGTTTCTACCGTCGATTGGGGTGGAGAATAAAAGCGAACAATAGTACCCGCGGTGAACACGCCGCATTCGAGTGGTGGTGGCGAAAAAGCGGAGGGTAGGTGTCTGTGCGTCGGGTTGAATGGCCTACACAAATCAATTCGCTTACGGTGGAGGGTAATGCGGCGGTGGCGAGATCCCTGCGCGAAACGCATGCACACGTGAGCTTCGATTTCGCCGGCGAAGTACCGCTGCCGCCGCCGAGGGGCGCGACGTCGGTATCCAAGGCAACAACATCCGTTGTCATGGGGAAGTGGTAGTGCGCGTGTGTGCAAAGAGGGGAAAGTAGCTGAACGTTTCCAGAGAAGTAATCTTCTCCCGCAAGCCTCCGACCTCCGTCGGTGTATCGAGACGATTGTGAAGGAGACCAGGTGGGAGGACGGGGGTCGAAATGTTTTCAGGATAGAATCCTGTATAAATGTATACACATTTATTATAAAAAGGCTTACTACTGCAATAACCAGTGCTCGTTCATATATGCGTCGAAAAATCAAGTCTTCAATATTTACGACTTTTTCACGAGTGAAATTCACACGTGAATTTAATGTAAGATATAAAGCAGCGGGGAAGCACGTATGTAAAACAAAACGAGGTCAAAAATCAATTGCAAAATGTTCTATAAACTTTTTCAAGACTTTTAGACGATAATTCCTAAGGTCAACGCCTATTTCATATATTACACAGGTGTAATAATATCGTGGTTTTTATCAGAGCGTTTCATTATTCTAGAGCGTTACACGCCAAAGGGTTGACACACCCTAGCATTTATATTTACACGGTACATGTAGGCGGAGAGGGCACACGGTCGGCCCAGACTGCAATATCGATTTCGTCTTGCACACGCGGCGGCGGACACAAAAACTCGCTAGTGGTGGGGTGTACGACCCCTTACATTATTACACGTGCCACTTTTTACGATCTCAATATACACACATATTAAATATTATATCGTAAAGATCCAAATGTTTGACCAAGGACAGAAAATATATTATTTTCGTTCAATAAAATCGTAGTAGATTGATTTTGAATAAATTATTATTTTTCTTTAAGCGTGGTGTTTTTCCCAACCATTTTTTTTTTTTTAAAAACCAGTAATCTGACGAAAAAATGACGAAGATTCATAGGATTATATTTCTTTTATTAATAAAAATTCCTGTAAACGGGAAAAAAATGTATTGTTGTACACTCGGGTATAAAATACACGGTTCTCTCACTCTCCTGTGGTAAAGAAGAGGTTGTACATAGGTTCGCAGTTCAAACACTGATCGGGTCGCACGGTTTATAACAGGTAAAGAAGGAACAGGTACACTATATATATATATACTTTTATGTATGGATGTATACACACAAACAAAAAAGCATTGTGATCCCAAGCGAATGTGGTCCAACCCCACAGTGGGCAGCTGGCTTTATCTTTACCCGTCGGGGAAACGGTCTAATTTTTTTTTCATCTCGTTTCACGACCACCTGATTCCGAGGAACGGGCGCGTATAATACAACACACCAGAAAATATAAAAATCCGACGATTCGATATCTTCTAGTGGATGTTGAAGTCGTCGCCGGCAAGATACACAATCATATATATATATATTGAACAACACTAGTTCGGTGAAAGACGACCACGTGGTTAACACACGACTACGGTACGTAGAATAACCTTGGGACGACGGCGATTGTGATATTGTCGGTCCGTTTGGCGGGAATTCGACAGACCACAGTCGTTGTCGCTTTGTCCGTGCAGTGTGTTCTATTGGACTGTTGTTTTTACACGAAAATAAACGCATGCATGCATGGTATATACAGAGCGCACAAGGCGAATGTTTTGCCGAGGACCGTGGCCTTGGTAACCACCGGTGCGCATTGGGTCAACGGTCCGGGGGCCCCCTAATTGGCATTCGATAGTACTTGGTGCGTGGGAGGGGGGCGAACAATTTCTCGTCCAGGAAAGTGAAACAACAAAGATTAATAAATCTCGGAAAATCGTTTTTACAAACATCGAAAAAAAAATTCGATAGTTTCTTATTTTTTTTTTGATACATTTTTCTCCTCAGTTTCTTTCCACCGGTTTCAAGGTTGTGCGAGAAGTCTAACCGTCATCGTTCGTCGTCGAGGTTACAACATGAAAAAACTCGAACGCCATCTGACACACACACACACACATACATACAGACGCACGCGCAAACCTGGCCATTACCAATGCACATGACAGTGTTTGTGTCGTATCAAGAAAGAGAACGTGCGTTTGTGTGTGTGCACGCTTGTAGACCACGAGGTCTTTACCCGGCAGCAGAACAGGAGGCGCCCCGACCGTTTCCTGCCAGCTGTCTCGCCGTGTGGAACGCGAACACATACACACACGCGCAACGACAACGAGCTGCTGCTGCTGCCGCCAGACGCTTTTGTTTAATGAAACTTGACGACCGGTTTCGTCGTTATTATTACGTGAGCGCGCGCGCGGTGGTTTACCAACCGTTGCCACCACCGTCGTGTTGCATAGGGGCTACCGATGCCGATAGATCGGATATTCTCAACTCGCGCGCAATTCGATTAATTATAATCGTAAAACACTTATGAAGAAATTCACTGTTAAACCCACGATCATAATGGTCGATTCGTCGATATCGCTCGTTAGCGAAATCTGTTCGGAGAGATGGAGCAAATCAACTAACAGGTAGTATGGGTCAAAATTGTAACCGAAATACCCGGGAAACCACGGACGCGCGCGCGCGCACGTCCGTATTAGTATTACGGAATACGATAAGCTGGTACCCGGGATCCCCACCGGTTCCGAAAATAAACCCACGTGTTGGTCAACTCATTGCTGTTTAAAAGCGATATTAGCATATTGTAACGTAACGCAATGCTTACGTTGTTGAACCATGACAATTCTTTGAACGTTAAGATTAAAAATAGAAACAATAATGAATAATATATTACCTTGTCTTCCAACGATTTCAGCCACGTGTTCGGAACTGGGTACCGGAACGCATTCGGTCATGTTCTGGCTCTTTTTGTTCCTTGGCTCTTCCGGAAATCCGTTGGGAATATAGTTCTGTACCATTGACGAGGAGTCCATGGACGGGCCTCCGGACATTGGGGAATCCGCTTTCTGTTGTCGCTGTTCACCGTTCATGTACAACATGCTGAGTTCCAGGGCTACTTGCAGGGCTCGCGTGTCTTCGATGATCTTGTTGTTGTGTTGGTTGGCCGAGAATTCCAAGTCCGAAAATAACGTAGCAGGCATGGCGAATTGTTTTCGACGAAACGAAATAATTGGATAAAAGACGGATTTTAGAAAAATAAATTTCTACGTTAACTCGTTATAAGCGTTTCTTCTTTTAAAATTTGTAATACGGTCGGCGAAAATCGGTATTTTCCGTTAAATTCGTATACTCGTGATGCTGCAGCGAGCGTGTAAAAATTGCGCGTATGACGGCGAGTGTCACATGTGCGCGTTTTCCCAAAACGGAAATAACGTTCCGTTGTATAAAAAAAGTATAAAAAAATTCACGTGTAAATACTGTAAAAATTGATTCCTATGCAGTCCAGTGGGAAAGCAGCAGCAGCAGCAGCAGCAGCAACAGCGGCAGCAACAGAGAATTGATGAGTGCGATACGTTTAAGGAAAAACGTTACGATCTGTATTCAACGTTTTAACGCTATTACTTGTTTATTTTTTTTTTTTATATATATATACTATAATATCGTAAATTTGTAATATAATATCAAAAAATAACGTGCGGCGTATCGTAAATTATTAATGTATTTTGGTGTGTTCGATAGTGTACGGCGAGCGCGTGGTGAGCGTGTGTGTGAACTCGACAGACTGACGACACGAACGATTTTCTAACGACTGCCGGTACGAAACGGGGTGGCTGTGCGCGTTTGCCGGGTTCGCGCGCGCTGCCGGCCGCTTTTTTTTCTCCTGCGTGCGTGCGTGGTGGGGTGGCTTCGCGGCGGCTGCAGGGTAGGGATGTCATGCGGCGGCAGCGGCCGGCCGGCGTCTTTGCTCTCTTCCCTCCCCTCGCCACCCGGCCGACCGCGCGCCCGCCTCGCGTACCGAGAATCCCCACTGCCGCCAGCCCGCGCACCAAACGCCCCGCTCGCACAATGTTCGCTGGCGCTCACTCATTCTCTCTCTGTCTCACTCACTCTATCTCTCTCTCGCACTCCTTGAAATCATCTTGCTTACTCGTCAGTTCGCTCGATCTACACTTCTTTCTCATACCGCCGCCGCTGAAAGACGGCCGACCGACCAACCACGTGATTTTTTTTCCCGGCAACAAAAATCGTTTAACACACACTATACGACGCGTATACTCGTATTCATTATATTATTATTATTATTATTATTATTCTTATTGTATTCAATACGAATATACACTTGGCGGAGTGAAGGGTATGGGGGCAGAAATATGAAAAACGAAGAAATAGGTTTTTGCCGTTTTAACGCGCCGGACACAAGAATAAAATTATTTTCCAAAAGAAAAAAACAAAAATCAATACCGACCGTCCGTGTGTTGTTTTATCAGTAGCAGGGGGATCTCTCCGCCGCCGCCGCTGCTACCGGCACCGTTAGTATTATGCAGAATTTAAATACACCCAATGCAAGTATTTAACTACGCACGTGTGGTGATGTATTTATTTTGTGCGTATCGGATTCCAAGCCGCTTCTGTCGTAGCACGCGGCGACTGATTGCTATCTAACTGTCCGAATAAAAATTTTCGAAAGTAAAAACCGTTGAGACCACCACGCGGAAAAAAAATGATCAATGATTTACACCGTAAAATATTATTTATACAGTATTAATTATACCACGCATGAATATTGTCTAGTTCAGTACTAATTATAGTAGATATATTTTATACTTATGTCGGATTAGTAATTATTTTTACTCCTATTACAGAAGGATCCTTATTTGTTGAACAACAATAAACACGTTTATACATTAAATGCTAAATCAGCGTTTCTCAAACTGTGGGTCGCGACCCCCTAGGGGGTCGCGAGTCAATTTTTGGGGGGTCACTAGAAGTTTTTTTAACTGTACAGATTGTAAGAAACAAGCACATTCATCACATACGCCTAATTATTAATTAAGTATTATATTATATATATTATATTATATTATATTATTATTATTATTATAAATATATTATTATAATTATTATTATTATTATTATTATTATTATTATTATTATTATTATTAT